ATCTGTCTCTTCATCAATTTCTTTAATGAGCGCAACATTGTCACCTCTTACAAGGTACAACCCCAGTACCACTTGTTTTCCCTATGTGGAGATGAATTACTCGTTCATGGCTTTCATCCAAAATCAGATTAATGGTCTGGTCAAAGCCTTTCTGTGTCCCCACAGTCACTGGCCCTTCAGAAGTAATAACAGCTACAGGTCAGTTTTTGTAGTTTTCCAAAGCAGACGTCATGCTGCTCGGCCTGGAGGTTCCAGGCAACAAATAGAGCTACAAGGGCCCACCCCATTTTCATTTTTTATTTGACCTGTAAGTTGTGTAGGAAAATATTTTAAATTTCTAAGTGTTTGGTATTCTTACAGTTATCTTTCTGTTACTAATTTCTAGCTTTATTTGTGTTCCACTCAAAACAACTGATCCATTTAGGCTTTCTTTAGGGACTAGCCTGTGGTCAGTTTTCATAAGTATACCATACCTTCTCAAGGAACATATGTTACAATTGTTGGATGAAATGTGTTTTATGTATTACTTTTATCAGTCTTGCTAATGGTATTGTTTAAAATCTCCTGTGTTTTTATTGTTATTTTGATTTCTTGTTCTGAAATTACACAACTGGAATTAAAATCTCTCACTCCAGCTGTTGATTTGTTAGTTTCTGCCTGTGGCACTATATATTGCATTTTTGGGCTACCTTTTTGTGTGCATATGAATTAAGAGTTGTTTGAGAACTTTTTTGTTTGTTTCTTTTCTGTTTTTTTTTTTTCTCTTTGCTTTTATAGAAATCATTATTTTCTTTTAGTTAGCTGGTAGCCGCCTTATTTCAACATGAACACTTTATGAACACTTAATAGTATTCAAAGCTAAACAGTGTCTTCCCATATAGTTCAAGTCCCTTAAGAGAAAAAAAAATTGTTTTTTGACAGGCAGAGTTACAGAGAGAGAAGAAATGGCAGAGAGATCTTCCATCTGCTGGTTCACCCCCTAAATGGCCACAACAAAGGCTGGGCCAGGCCAAATCCAGGAGCCTGGAACTCCATACAGGTTTCCCTTATGGGTGATAGGGTGCCAAGCACTTGGGCCATCTTCTGCTGCTTTCCCAGGCGCATCAGCAGGGGGCTGGATCAGAAGTAGAGCAGCCAGGACTGGAACTGGTGCCCATGTAGGATTCTGGCATTTCAGGTGGTGGCTTAACCCACTGCACCACAACTCTGGTCCCAGAAAATTTTAAGTCTACTCACTCCTCTCCCTAGTTAGTACTATCCTGTTCTTCCTCTCAAGGTGGACATCAAAATAATTTATCACTTTTTAAAATGTTTATATTTACCTACATATTTTTTAATGTCTTACCATACCCTTCCTTGTTGCATTTCAGATCTTTGGCATTGTTTTCCTTTTGCCTGTAGTAATACATCCATTAGAATTTCCTTAAGTGAGAGACTGTCATTGGCCCACTGTCTCAGATTTTACTCATTATTTCTTTATTTCACCTGAGTTCTTTGAAGATAGTTTCCCTGGGTATAAAATTCTGGGTTTCTAGGTGCTTTCTTGAAGCACATATTCTAAGATTATTCAGCCTTGTAGTGTTGCTAGTGAGAATGCTAGCATTCATTAGCTGCTTTGAAGATGATCTATGTTTTCTCTAGTTGTTTGGAAGAATCTCTTTTTCTTTGAGGTTCTGCAGTTTTACTATCAAGTATCTAGGTGTGTATTTCTATGTATCATTCTTGGAACTTGTTAGGAACACCTAGATGTCAGAATTGATGACTTTTTTTAGAGTTTTTTTTTTTTATTTGAAAGAGTTGGAAAGATGGCTTTTTAACAGTTTTGCAAAACTCTCGGCTGTGTCTCTTCAAAATTGCCTCTTTATTCTCTCCATTTTGTCTTTTTCTTAAATATTTATTTATTTATTTATTTGAAAGGCAGAGTTACAGAGATAGAAGGAGAGGCAGAGAGAGAGGTCTACCATCCACTGGTTCACTCCCCAGTTGGCTGCAATAACCGGAGCTGCGCCGATCTGAAGCCAGGAGCCAGGGGCTTCTTCCAGATCCCCAGTGCCTGTGAAGGGGCCCAAGGACTTGGTCCATCTTCTACTGCTTTCCCAGGCCACAGTAGAGAGCTGGATTGGAAGTGGAGCAGCCAGGTCTCAAACCGGTGCCAATATGGGATGCTGGCATCGCAGGTGGCAGCTTTACCCACTACACCACAATGTCGACCCCTCCATTTTGTCTTAATATAATGGATGGGGCTTAGCTCCTGTTTTTCTCCATGTCTTCAGACTGAATCCAGGAGCCACGATTCCCCCATGCGGGTGCAGAGACCAAGGACTTTGGCCATCTTCTACTTCTTTCCCAGGAGGATTAGCAGGGAGCTGAATCAGAAGGGGAGCAGCCAGGACTCAGACTGCTGCCCAGATGGGACACTGGTGTCACAGGGTGGTGTTTATGTTTGTTTGTTTGTTTGTTTTTGACAGGCAGAGTTAAGACAGTGAGAGAGAGAGACAGAGAGAAAAGTCTTCCTTTTTCCGTTGATTCACTCCCCAAATGGCTGCTATGGCCGGCACATTGCTGCCGGCATGCTGCGCTGATCCAAAGCCAGGAGCCAGGTGCTTCTCCTGGTCTCCCATGGGGGTGCAGGGCCCAAGCACTTGGGCCATCCTCCACTGCACTCCCGGGCCACAGCAGAGAGCTGGCCTGGAAGAGGAGCAACCGGGACAGAATCCAGCGCCCTGACCGGGACTAGAACCCAGGGTGCCGGAGCCACAGGCAGAGGATTAGGCTAGTGAGCGTGGCACTGGCCACAGGGTGGTGGTTTAACCCATTACACCACAACCTAGGCCCCTGAAAGAGCATTCTAAGAAGAGGGACAAGTGTAGATGAGGCTGTATCACAGCAAGGAATTAGAGAGGTTTAGGAACTGTAAGACAGCTGGGGCTTAATCAATGAAAAGCATGTTGAAGATTGGAGGGACAGGAGCTAACTTAACATACCACACAGTATAGAGCCCTAAGAATTTTAGACTGTGCCAAGAGCAGTAGAGAACTGCGGAAGGAGCTTCAGAATAGTGACAACTCATTTGTATAATATTTCTTTTGGAAACGTGTACACATGGGGCTGCTGGATCTGATGCCATTCATCCTTAGAATCTTACAAGGAACTTCCTTTCTTCTTCTGAATTGTTTACGTGACCATCTAATACGATTGTTTGGATTGACATAAGTAAATGTTTCCTTATAAATTAATATAATAATTTTTATGTATGTGTGAAAAGAGAGTAGTTAATATACTTTTTTGTAATTTACCATGGTAATAAGGAACAGCAAAATTTACTAGGCATCTAATTTACGTATCATATACTTTTAGAAATTCTTAAGCTGCTCTTTAGAAAACTAGCTGGTTTTTAAAAATTTTTTAATGTGTTTTCTTTTTTTTAAAGATATATTTATTTATTTACTTGAAAGTCAGAATTACACAGATAGTGAAGGAGAGGCAGAGAGCTAGAGCTAGAGCTAGAGCTAGAGAGAGAGAGAGAGAGAGAAAGGGTCTTCCATCTGCTGGTTCACTCCCCAGTTGGCCACAATGACCAAAGCCACGCCGATCTGAAGCCAGGAGCCAGGAACTTCTTCCAGGTCTCCCACGTGGTTGCAGGGGCCCAAGGACTTGGGCCATCTTCTACTGCTTTCTCAGGCTATAGCAGAGAGCTGGATCGGAAGTGGAGCAGCCAGGACTCGAACTGGCACCCATATGGGATGCCGGCACTGCAGGCATCAGCTTTACCCACTACGCCACAGTGCTAGCCCCTAAATTGTTTTATAGATTTCAATAAATCATGACAAATTTATGTAAGGACTTACTTTATCCCATATGTTTTTTTCTTTTTTTTTAAAGATCTTTTTATTTATTTGAAAGAGTTACGCAGAGAGAGGAGAGGCAGAGAGAGAGAGAGAGAGAGAGAGAGAGAGGTCTTCTGTCCGCTGGTTCACTCCCCAGATGGCCGCAATGGCCAGAGCTGTACCAATCCCAAGCCAGGAGCCAGGAGCTTCTTCCAGGTCTCTCACGTGGGTGCAGGGGCCCAAGGCCTTGGGTCATCTTCTACTGCTATCTCAGGCCATAGCAGAGAGCTGGATCGAAAGTAGAGCAGCCGGGACTAGAAGTGGTGCCCACATGGGATGCCGGTGCTTCAGGCCAGGGCGTTAACCCACTGTGCCACAGCTCCGGCCCCAACCCATATGTTTTTTCAACTTGAATAAGATTGTTATCCTTTTCCTATTTCTCTTTAAAAATTATCTTTAAAAATTTCTTTCATTGGTTGCTTCCCTGTACCCAAAATGTATTACCCCCCCCTTTTTTTTTTTGCTTCTTTATTGTCTTTAATAACCTGCTGCAAATATTATGGTTTTGCTATTTTACCTTACTCAAAGTTCCTTTTTAAGGTTTAAATGTCGGCCATGCGGCTCAATAGGCTAATCCTCTGCCTGCGGCGCCGGCACACCGGATTCTAGTCCCAGTCGGGGCGCCGGATTCTGTCCCAGTTGCCCCTCTTCCAGGCCAGCTCTCTGCTGTGGCCCAGGAGTGCAGTGGAGGATGGCTCAAGTCCTTGGGCCCTGCACCCGCATGGGAGACCAGGAGAAGCACCTGGCTCCTGGCTTCGGATCAGTGCGGCGCGACGGCCGCGGCAGCCATTGGAGGGTGAACCAACGGCAAAAAGGAAGATTTCTCTCTGTGTGTCTCTCTCTCACTGTTCACTCTGCCTGTCAAAGAAAAAAAAAAGTTTAACTGTCAGGAGTCTTTTTGTTGAGATTCATGTACTTGGTATTTACTGTTCTAAAGTTTATTTTTTCCTCATTTTTCTCTTAGAGAACCTTCACTTCCCTTATTTTATATTGAAAAAAATCTTGGAGCATAATTTTGCATTTTGCAGTGTTTTCATTGTAATTTTTCTCCTCTTGAGAAACTGTCTAATTATGACTCTGTAATTAATAATTTTATGTATTCTATATTTTTAGTCTATTGAAGACAATGAAGTATATTTGCCTAATGATGAAATTTGGACCTATGATATTGATAGTGGGTTGTGGTAAGTCATTTTAAATTGCAGAGTATCTCTGATTTTACTGTCTATTCTAAATGATTTTGTAAACCACAGGAGGTGTGAGATCAGACCTAGAGCACCCTGCAGCGTTAAGCCTCCATTTCCATTTCCTTCAGTGATCCCCTCTCTGTGGCTCTTTGCTTCTGCTGCTACTTCCTGCTCTTTAATCGTTCCCCTTAACACCAACACTGTCACCGAAGGCTTTGGTATTACATTCTGAGTTCCAGTGGCATGTATGGAAAATTTTGTGTGTGTGTGTGTGTTTTTTTTTTTTATCCTTGCAGATTGAAAGGTGTTTTCCTGAAGCTTAGAGTTTTTCCCAGCACTGGTGCCCATTGCACTTTGATTGTAATTGGCAGACAACGTTCGTTGAAAACAGTAATCGTGGAATGTGAAGGGAATGTTTGTTGGCGCTTCTGGAAAGTTATGGGATTCCATCTTGTTCTTGCTGCAGGAGAATGCACCTCATGGAAGGAGAACTCCCTGCCTCCATGTCAGGAAGCTGTGGTGCTTGCGTTCATGGAAAGTTGTACGTGTTTGGAGGATACGATGACCAAGGATACAGCAACAGAGTAATGTTTCCTTTTCATCCAGGAGCGTGGCACGCTGAATGTCCTATTGAATGCATCACTTTGTCTTGCAACTTTATGAATTCTTTTAAAGATTTATTTATTTTATTTGAAAGGCAGAGTTACAGAGAGGGAGAAACAGAGAGAGAGAGAGATCTTCCATCTACTGGTTCACTCCTCAGATGGCCGCAACAGCCACGGTTGGGCCAGGCGGAAGCCAGGAGCCAGGAGCTTCATCCAGGTCTCCCGCGTGGGTGCAGGGGCTCAAGGACTTGGGCAATCCTCCACTGCTTTCCCATGCGCAATAGCAGGGAGCAGGTTTGAAATTGGCACAGCTGGGATTCAAACTGGTGTGCATATGGGATGCCGGTGCTGCAAGCAGCGGTTTTACCCGCTATGCCACAGCGCTGGCCCCACAACTTTGTGAATATTTCAAGAAAATAGATGTAGAACATTTTAAGTTTATAATTACAAGATTTTAAAGATAGAGTGAAATGCAGCAATTATTTTGCATTGTTCTTGTCTTTTGCTGTGTCTTTCTGCTTCAGAATTAACTGCATACTTAATTTATACTCCTAGGACAAATTGTCATGGGAAATGCTCCTTTTTCCTGTGTTTTATATACCATTTCTGCTTCTAAAACACTGTCTCATTTTCATTAATTCTACACTTTTAATTTGTATAGGTAAAAATTTTACCTAATAAAAAGAGACATAGTAGTATCCATTTTTGGATTACAAATTCCTCTGTTATATATTTAATTTTCAGATGCTTTGCATGCTAATAATGTTCTCGTCTTTTAAAAGCTTTATTTTGTTAATTTGAGAACAAGAGATGGAACCTACCTTTGGGAAAAACTCAGCAGCTTTGCAGGACAACCACCAACGCCACGTGATAAACTTTCCTGCTGGGTATATAAAGACAGGTAAGACAGCAGCCGCACTTACTGCATGAGTTACAGTTAAATGAGGATGATAGCTTTTGGCCAAAACAGAGAAAAGTTGGAAGGATGAAATTTCTTCCAAGATGTGATCACAGATCTTTTTTGATGTGAAAAGTAATAGCAGTTCTGAACCCTGGATCAGAACCGTGACATAAAAATGGGAGCAACTCGTTGCTTTTCTTTTGCATTAACTTATTTATTACCTAATTTAATTTTTTGAATAGGTGATTCATTCATGTGGGTCAAAAATTGAAATCATGCTTTGAAGTGTACATTGAAAGATGTGTTTCTGTCTCCATGTACACTATCCTCATCCCCTACTTGTACATAAAACCATTTTTTTCTTTTTCATGATTTTTTTTTTGAATCTTCCATCTTATTTATTTGAAAGGCAGAGTTACAGAGAGGCAGGGGCAGAGAGAAAGTCTTCCATCTTCTGGTTCATTCCCCAAATGGCTGCAACAACTGGAGCTGCGCCGAACCAAAACCAGGAGCCAGGAGCTTCTTCCAGGTCTCCCATGCGGGTGCAGGGGCCCAAGGACTTGGATCATCTTCTACTGCTTTCCCAGGCCATAGCAGAGAGCGGGATTGGAAGAGGAGTGGCTGGGACTAGAACCGGTGCCCATATGGGATGCCAGCACTTCAGGCCAGGGCTTTAACCCATTGCACCACAGCACCAGCCCCGGGATGTTGTTTTTTTATCTAGATGAAAATAATTCTCAGAACCAAAACTTCTGTTTAATCATGGGTTGAAAAGAAGGCTAAAGCTTGAATTCAATATTATCAGCTAGAAGAAATCTTTGTTTTTCCTTATGATTTGGGAGATAGATGGAAGAACTTCAAACAGGTATTTACCTGGTCAGGGGCTCCCGATGGAGATGGACTGGAATGGCCAGTGCGAGAAGGCCGTTGCCAGCATATAGCTTAACAATAGAACAGCTGAAACAAAAGGCAGATAAGAGAGTCAGAAGTGTTCACTATAAAGTGATAGATGATTATAGTGGTGCCTGCTGGCCTTTGAATAAAGGAATCAAAACCTTCTTCACAAGCCCCTGCACTGAGGAGCCTCGAATACAGCTACGAAAAAGGGGAGTTCATTTTGGCCACGAGCAGTTTAGGATACTGGTTGTATGCAGACAAAATCCTTGATGATTCCTTTGTGGAAGGCGTTTCAAGAATCAGAGGTTGGTGCCTGAGGAACTGTGTGGAAGAGTGTCCCTGTGATGCGGAAAGAGAGCCAGCCCCAGAGGGCGAGAAGAAAAACAGATAGCCACCGTTAATGTGAAATGATTCTTTAAGGTTGCTTTATTTCTTGAAAATTGTACATTATTACTCAAGAATCATGCAAAGAGCCTACTCTAGTGAAAGTGTTCTTTTCCTCAAAGGTGCCCTAGTGCCATGATCCAAATATTTTATTACCATTTTGAAATGGAGAACCATTCTGCATGTGCCTTTGAATCCTACACCTTTTTGCCACCTCTTCTTCCCCCTCAAAAGGGAAAACCATTTCACCAAGTAAGTCAGAGTCGCATTTCCTCCAGGGTTTTTCACGCGCTGCACACTCTGGACCCCAGCTGCAGACATTGTCCCCTCTGCCAGGAGCACCTACACGCGGTGCTCTTATTTCCCCCTCAGCTGATATTGCTTACATAATATTCTAGATCCTGGAGATCTTAATTTGTCAGATGCAATATAAGCTCAGATTTTGTTACCTTTTAATAATGCAGATTCTGTCAGATCAAATAAACATTAATGGATGGTCCTTAAAAAACAAAAACAGAAACAAAAAGGGTGTACTGCAGAGATCTTTCCTCTTTCTGTATCCCTAGTTAGGACTTGTTTTGGTTTTGTTTTTAATTTTTTGTTGTATCAGCTACGTAGTATTCCCCTTATAGAGGTACCATAGTTTACTTAACCTTTTCTTTATAGCTGAAACAAAACTTGGGTCATTTTAAATCCTCTGCTATTACACACTTCGCTGTAGTGAGTATCTGTATATTTGGAGTAGCAGATCTAGCTGCTGGATAAAATTCCAGAACTAGATTGCTTAGTCTGCTATTAGCAGACATCTGGTCATTCTACTTTTTTTTTTTTTTCTTTTCTTTCTTAGGGTGGGCCTTGTAGCATGGCAACTAAGCTACCACTTGGGATGCTTATGTCCCATGTTGTAGCACTGGTTTAAGTCTTGGCTACTCTGCTTCCTACCCAGATTCCTGCATGCACATTGGGAGGCAGCACATGATAGCCAAGTGCATGGATCCATGCTACCTGCTTGGCAGACCCAAATAGAGTTCTGGGCTCCTGGCTTTGCCTGGTCCAGCCCCACTGTTTTGGATATTTGGGGACTGAACCAGTGGAAGATTCTCTCTCTCTTTCTCTCCCTCCCCCTGCCCCTCCCTCACTCCCAGTCTCTCTACCTTTCAAGTAGATGAAAATAAATATTTAAAAATTTTCTTGAAGCCGGTGCTATGACATAGCAGGTAAAGCTGCCGCCTGCAGTGCCAGTATCTCATATGGTTTGAGTCCCAGCTGCTCCACTTCCAAATTGGCTCCCTGCTGATGGCCCAGGAAAGCAGTCGAAGATGGCCCAAGTATTTGGGCCCCTGTACCTGAGTGGAAGACCTGGAAGAAGCTCCTGGCTCTTGGCATTGGGTTGGTCCAGCTCTGGCCTTTGCAGACACTTGGGGAGTGAACCAGCAGATGGAAGACTCTCTCTCTATCTGTAACTCTGTCTCTCAAGTAAATAAATAAACCTTTAAAAATCTTTTTTCTTTTAATAGATATATAATTGTACGTTTAACAGGTCCAATGAGGTAATTCAATGCATATATACAATGTATAATGGTTAAATCAGGACAATTATCTTTTTTTGTCTCCCCAAACATTTGTCATTTGTATATGTTGGGAAACTTCAGACATCTCTTCAGTTATATATAACACATAATAAATTCGTGTGAAGTCTAGTCGCCCTGCCGTGCTGTAGAACATTAAAACTTACTCCTCCTGGGTAATTGTATTTTGTTACTCATATCCAGTCTCCCTCTCTCTCCTCCCTCTACTTCCTAACCTCCAGGGACCACTATTCATGCTTCTAAGAAGTCAACTTCGTTGTTAGTTTTTACATGTGAATGAGGACATGTTTGTCTATTTGTGCTTGGCTTATTTCCCTTATTCTAATCTCTTCCAGTTTCATCCATGTTGCTGCAAATGACAGGTTTTCATTCTTTTTTATGACTGAATAACACTGCATTGCATATACCTACATACATATATACACATGTATATATATATATATATATCACATTTTTTATCCATTTATCAGTCAATAGATACTTTGGTTGATTCTACATGCTGGATAATTCAGCAAGTGAACGTAGAAATCTCTTTGATAGGCTGATTTTGTTTCCCTTGTATATTTACCCAGTAGAGAGATATCTGGATCACAGGGTAGCTCTGTTTGTAGCTTTTTAAGCAACCTCTATACTCAGTTATATTCCTACCAAAAATGTCTAAGAGCCCCCTTTCTCCATGTGTCCTTGTGATTTACATTGAGGTTAATATTGATAAGTTATAACTTAGTGTTGCCATTTAAAATGTTTCTTATTATTTTGAAGACCTTGTTTTCTTTCTTTTTTTTTTTTAAAGGTTTGTTTGTTTCTTTATTTGAAAGGCAGAGTTACAGAGAAATAGAGAGGCAGAGAGAAAGAGAAAGGTCTTCCATCTGCTGATTCACTTCCCAAATGACCACAACAGCCAAAGCTGGGCTGATCCGAAGCCAGGAGCTTCTTCCGGGTCTCCCACATGGGTACAGGGGCCCAAGGACTTGGGCTGTCTTCTACCGCTTTCCCAGGCCATAGCAGAGAGCTGGATCAGAAGTGGAGCAGCCTGGAGTGAACCAGCACCCATATGGAATGCTGGCGCTGCAGGTGGCAGCTTTACCAGCTATGCCACAATACCAGGCCCAGACACCTTTTTTTTTTCTTTTTCTCGTGGGTTTTATTCTTTTACTTGTTTTCATGATGCTGTTTATCTTTTTTTTGCTCCTGTTTGTAGGCTTCACTTAAGATCTTTTGAAAGGCCAGCTTGGGAGTGATGAATTCCCTCAGCTTCTGCTTGTCTTAGAAAGTCTTTATTTCTCTTTTGTTTGTGAAGGGTAACTTTGCCAGATATGGTAATCTTGGTTGACAGTTTTCTTCTTTGAGAATTTGGAGTATATCATTCCATTCCTCCTGGCCTGTGTGGTTTCTGCTGAGAAATCTGCTGTTAGTTTAATAGAAGCTTCATTAAATGTGACATGGCACTTTTGCAAATTTTAGAATTTGTTCTCTGTTGTACTTTTGAAAGTTTGGAGTGGGTCATGGTGAGAATCCCTTCTGATCATGGCTGCTTGGGATCCCATGGGCCTCCTACATGGATGTCCATATTTTTCTCAAGACTGGAGGAATTTTCAGCTATTCTTTCTTTGTGTAGGTTTTCTGTGCCTTCACCCCTCTCTTCTCCTTCAGAGATCCCTCAGATTTGAATATTTCCTCATTTAATGTTGTCCCAAGGGACTTGGAAGCTATCTTCATTTTTTTTTTTTTTAAATCTTTTTTGTCAGGGCTGGCGCTGTGGCTCAGTAGGTTAAAGCCCCAGCCTGCAGCACTGGCATCTCATATGGGCACAGATTGTGTCCTGGCTGCTCCACTTCTGCTTGAACTCCGTACTGATGTGCCTGGAAAAGCAGTGGAAGGTGGCCCAAGTCCTTGGACCCCTGCACCCATGTGGGAGACCCAGAAGAAGCTCCTGGCTCCTGGTTTCAGATCAGCTGAGCTCCAGCTGTTGCAGCAATTTTGGGAGTGAACCAGCAGATGGAAGACCTCTCTTTCTCTTTCTTGACCTCTTTCTATAACTCTTTCTTTCAAATAAATAAAATAGGTGCTGGCGCTGTGGGGTAGTGGGTAAAAGCTGCCACCTGCAGTGCCAGCATCCCATATGGGTGCCGGTTCAAGTCCTAGCTCCACTTCTGATCCAGCTCCCTGCTATGGCCTGGGAAAGCAGCAGAAGATGGCCCAAATCCTTGGGTTCCTGCACCTGCATGGGAGACCCAGAAAAAGCTCCTGGCTCCTGGCTTCCAATCGGTCCATCTCTAGCAGTTGCAACCATCTGGAGAGTGAACCAGCAAATGGAAGACCTCTCCCTCTCTCTCTTCCTCTGCTTCTCTGTAACTCTGCCTTTCAAATAAATAAATTGTAAAAAAAGAAAAAACTAATCTTTCAAAAAATCTTTTTGTCTTTATTTCCTGTTTGTCTGACTGTGATATTTAAAAAGACCTGTCTTCCATGCTTTCTTCTTATTGATTTAGTATGTTGTTGAGACTTTCAACTATATTTTTTATTTTATAGAATAACTTATAATTTCAAATATTTCTGTTTGGTTCTTTTTCTTTTCTTATAATTTTTAAAGATTTATTTATTATTTGAAAGGTAGAGTTACAGAGAGGGAGAGGCAGAGGCAGAGAGAGAAGTCTCCATTCCATTGGTTCACTTCCCAAATGATCACAATGGCTGGGGTTGGACCTGGTGGAAGCCAGGAGCCAGGAGCTTCATCCAGGTTTCCCATGTGTATGCAGGGGTCCAAGGACTTGGACCATCTTCCACTGCTTTCCCAAGAACATTAACAGGGAGCTGGATAGGAAGTGGAGCAGCTGGGACTCGAACTGGCACCCATGTGGGATGCCAGTGCTACAGGCAGTGGTTTAACCCACTACACCACAGCACCAGCCCCTTAGTTCTTTTTCATGATCTCTGTGTTGGGGCTGGCGCTGTGGCGCAGTGGGTTAAAGCTCTGGCCTGAAGCGCCGTCATCCTATATGGGCGCCAGTTCTAGTCCTGGCTGCTCCTCTTCCAATCCAGCTCTCTGCTGTGGCCTGGGATAGCAGTAGAGGATGGCCCAAGTCTTTGGGCCCCGGCACCCACGTGGGAGACCCAGAGGAAGTTCCTGGCTCCTGGCTTCGGATCGGTGCAGCAGCAGCTGTTGCAGCCATTTGGGGAGTGAACCAGTGGATGGAAGACCTCTCTCTCTGTCTACCTCTCACTCTAACTCTGTCTTTCAAATAAATAAAATAAATTATTTAAAAAAGATCTCTGTGTCTTTTCTGAAATTTTTGGTCATATCATGCATTGCATTCTTCATTTTGTTAAACTCTCAGTGTTCTCTTGTATCTCTTTTTTTAAAGTTTTTTTTTTTTTTTTGTTTTTTGTTTTTTTGTTTTGTTTTTAAACACAGAATGATAAGGAGGGAAGGTGGGAGGGATGAAGAGAAGAGAGAGTGTTCTTATATCTGCTAATTCATTCTCCCAAAAGGCCACATCAGCCAGGTCTGAGCCAGGCTGAAGCCAGGAACTCCATCCTGTTCTCCCACACATGTGACAGGGGCCCAAGCAGTTAGGCCATCTTCCATTTCTTTTCCAACTGCATCGGTAGTAGAGCAACTTGGACTGAAAGCAGTTCTCTGACATGGGATGCTGGTGTCAGCAAGTGGTGACTTAACTCCCTGTGCCACCACACAGGCCCCTCTGCGTCTCTTTGAGCAATCGTATAATCATTCTTTTGAATTCTTTATCAAGCATTGTATCAGTCTCCTTTTATGTAGAATCTGTTACCATAGCATCATTATGTTCCTTTGGCAGTGTTGCCGTCTTGCTTGTCTCCTTTTGGATATTTTTATTGAACTGCTGACTTGACTTAGAGTTTATTGTTTTTTTCCATTGCTGTGTCCCACTTACTGTTAAGCCTGTCAAAAATAATTCTTTAATTCTGACATCATGGTTTCCATTTTTATCATTTGTATTTATTTCCCTGTCTTGGCTCCATGACTCTGCTTAAATTACTCATTTCTTCCTGCAGATTGTCTGCCCTTCTCCACTAGATCTGTTAGCATTTTCATTGTAGTGATTTTAAAGGTTCTTTCTGATAATTCTAATTTGGACCAGAGGCTGGAGCTGTGGCATAGTGGGTAAAGCCACTGCCTTCAGTGCCAGCATCCCATATGGGTGCTGGTTCGAGTCCCAGCTGCTCACTTCTGATGCAGCTCTCTGCTATGGCCTGGGAAAATGGTAGAAGATGGCCCAAGTCCCTGGGCCCCTGCACCTAAGTGAGAGATGTGGAGGAAGCCTTTGGCTCTTGGCTTCAGATCGGCCCAGCTGCGGCAATTGCAGCCGTTTAGGGAGTGAACCAGCAGATGGAAGACCTCTCTCATGTTCTCTCTCTCTCTCTGCCTGTCTGTACCCCTACCTTTCAAATAAATAAATAAATCTTTAAAAAATATTTGGGCCAACTCTGAATCTGCTTATATTGACTCCTTCCTCAGTTATGGATTATTGTGTGCGTGTGTGTGTGTGTGAGAGAGAGACAGACAGAGCAGGGTGGGGGAGGAGGGAGGTGGGTTGCCTTTTCATATACCTTGTAATTTTTGATTATATGTTAGACATTCTATATGAAAGAACAGTAAAATTGGAATAAATTATTTTTACCTCCAGAAAGTTACATGGCAGGTCATGTTTCAGGCTGCCAGAATGGGGTTCAAGGATGTCTAATCTGTAGTTGATCTATGTGTGTTCTTTGTTCAGCTTATTTTTGGGGGGGTAAGGTTTTTATTTAATGAATACAAATTTTGTATGTACAGCTTTTAGGGATATAGTGTTTCTTCCCCCCATTCCCACTCTCCCATCCCCACTCCCATCCCACCTCCTACTTCCTCTCCCATTCCATTTTCCATTAAGACTCATTTTTAATTGACTTTATATACAGAAGAACAACTCTATAGTAAGTAGAGATTTCAACTATTTGCACCCACACAGACACACAAAGTATAAAGTACAGTGTGAAGACAAGTTTTACCATTAATTCTCATAGTACACCTCATTAAGGACAGAGGTCCACCATGGGGGGGAAGTGCACAGTGACTCCTGTTGTTGATTTAAAAACTGACACTCTTAATTATGACGTCAGTGATCACCCGAGGCTCTTGACATGTTGTTCAGCTTTTTAACTGTGTTTTACCACCAACTTCAGATGTTTTTAAGGCTGAACTTTCTTTCACCAGGGCCCTGTGTTTCAGCACTGTAAATTTTCTAGAGATTTTTTTTTTTTAGCTGTTTTTCAAAGCTGAGTTCCCGTTTCTCACAATGATGAGAATTCTCTCCATGTTTGGTTTCCTGAGTGGTGGGTCTTTGGGCCAGTCCTCATGCTTTCTCCACCTTGGATCTCTTTCAGCCTTGTACCTCCTCCCTTTGTCCTTGAAGGCCACCATCCCCTGTGGCATAAAGGTTTGGCGTGACTCTGAGGCCCAGTCCCAAACTTGAGTGCTCAGAAGTTCAGGTTTCCTCAAGGGAGTTTGTTCAACTGTCCACTGCTCCCAGATACTGGTGACTGACCCCGAACCTTTACTGAAGACTGTAAAGGAGTGACAGAGTGGGCTAAAACTGCTCTGCTCCTGGGTTTTTTAAGATCCTAATTGGCCATACCAGCCTGCCTGTGACTGTTAGAGATTTGGGTGGTTTCTGTTCACAAACCCTCTGTGTACTGAATTCATTCTCTTCCTGCTGTTACCCCAAGAATGAAAGCAGCCATAGGTCCTTTTCCTCATACTAAGAGCTCATCACTTTCTGGAACTGACTGCTTTAGGTCTCCATGTTTTCTCAGCCCATTGATTTTGCAGTTAATTTAGATTTTTTTTTTTTAGTTGTTAGGGTAAAAGAAAGCATCTACTTGAATTTTTATGAATGTATTGAAAGCAGAACTCCTAAAGTGTATTTTTTTTATTTTTATCTTTTCAGATTAATATATTTTGGTGGTTACGGGTATAGGAGACACAATGAACTCCAAGACTGTTTTGATGTTCACGATGCATCTTGGGTAAGAGACTAATTACAGTTTACTCTAATTTAGTAAGGTCTCCAAGGTTTTCTCACTATAGCATTTAGCAATTTACTGTAATGGACACTACATTAAAAAAAATCTGTTTTCTCTGTTAGATTTGGATCCAGTTGGGGGAGAGGCTTTCACCAGGGGTGTTAGCCTTCATGGCGCTGGGTATAATACTTTCTTTTCTTACATCATTGATCACCTGGACTGCTTCTGTTATACAACTGGAGGCTTTGGCACAACCCTAGAGAGTTTTGTTCATATTTAATCACAGTAGCTGTTTTTTAAGAGATATGTCCACTAGAGCTATTAATAGCTCAGAGCTGTTTCAGGATAAGAAGCAGTGAGTTGATAGGGTATTTTTCCTACTTTTTTTTTTTTTTTTTGACAGGCAGAGTGGACAGTGAGAGAGAGACAGAGAGAAAGGTCTTCCTTTTTCCGTTGGTTCACCCCACAATGGCTGCTGCGGCTCGCACACTGTGGCCGGCACACTGCACTGATCCGAAGCCAGGAGTCAGGTGCTTCTCCTGGTCTCCCACGTGGATGCAGACCCAAGCACTTGGGCCATCCTCCACTGCACTCCCGGGCCATAGCTCTGCTGGACAGGAAGAGGAGGAGCGACCGGGACAGAATCCGGTGCCCCGACCGGGACTAGAACCTGGTGTGCCAGCGCCACAGGTGGAGGATTAGCCTATTGAACCGCGGCGCTGGCCCCTACTTATTCTTACTAGTTGGAGAATAAATCATTATTAGTGAAAGAAGTCATGACTTATAAAAATAAACTATTTCAAAAGTTAACTCTAAAACAGTCATTCATCTCACCATCAAGATGCACAATAACTCTTTTCAATTTTACTTTCTTTTTTTTAGAAAGCTTTTATTTAATGAATATAAATTTCATAGGTATAGCTTTAGGAATATAGCAGTTCTTCCCCTCATATCCACTCTACTGTCCCTACTGCTGTCCTACCTCCTACTCCCTCTCTCATCCCATTCTTCATTAAGATTCATTTTAAATTAACTATTTTTAAAAAGATTTTATTTATTTATTTGAGAGGTAGAGTTATAGACAGTGAGAGGGAGAGACAGAGAGAAAGGTCTTCCTTCCGTTGGTTCACTGCCCAGATGGCTGCAATGGCCGTAGCTGCGCCGATCCGAAGCCAGTTGCTTCTTCCTGGTCTCCCATGCGGGTACAGGGGCCCAAGCACTTGGGCCATCCTCCACTGCCCTCCCAGGCCACAGCAGAGAGCTGGATTGGAAGATGAGCAGCCAGGACTAGAACTGGCGCACATATAGGATGCCAGCACCTCAGGCAGATGATTAACCTACTGCGCCACGGTGCCAGCCTCTTAAATTAACTTTACATGCAGAAGACCAACACTATACTAAGTAAAGATTTCCACAATTTGCACCCACACAGACACACAAAATATCAAGAACTGTTTGAAAACAAGTTTTACATTTAATTCTCATAGTAAAACTCATTAAGGACAGAGGTTCTACATGGGGAGTAAGTGTACAGTGACTCCTGTTGTTGATTTAACAATTGGCACTCTTATTTATGACATTAGTGATCACCTGAAGCTCTTGTCATGAGCTGCCAAGGCTATGGAAGCCTCTTGAGTCTACAAACTCTGACATTATTTAAACAGGGCCATAAAGAAATGGAAGTTCTCTCTTCCCTTCAGAAAAAAATACCTCGTTCTTTGATGGCCCCTTCTTTCCACTGAGATCTCACTTACAGAGATCCTTCATGTAGATCATTTTTTGCCACAGTGTCTTCGCTTTCCATGCCTGAACTGCTCTCATGGGCTTTTCAGCCAGATCTGAATGCCTTAAGGGCTGACTCTGAGGTCAGAGTGCTGTTTAGGGCATTCACCATTCTATGAATCTGCTGTGTGGACTGCTTCCCATGCTAGAACTTTCTCACCTTTTTAATTTATCTGTTCTTATTAACAGACACTTGATCTTATTTATGTGATCCCTTTGACACTTAATCCTATCTATATGATCAGTTACACACTTAATATGATCACTTTAACACATAAAGTGGCATTAGTACCACCCAGCTTAATGGGATTTGGAGTCCCATAGCAAGTTTTTAGCTTTACCTTTAGGGGCAAGTCCATGGGAATGTGTGCCGAACTGTGCATCTCCTCCCTCTCTTATTCCTACTCTTAGGTTTTACTGGGATCTATTTTCATTTGGATTTAAACACCTATGAATAATTCTGTGTAAAGTAAAGAGCTCAACCAATGATATTAAGTGAAAAAGAAAATTGTAAAACAATAAAATAATAAACTATTCCTCAACACTCAAGACAAGGGCTGTTCAAGTCATTGCTTCTCATAGTGTCCATTTCATTTCTACAGGTTTCCTTTTAGGTGTCTGTTAGTTGTCACAGATCAGGGAGAACATATGGTATTTGTCCCTTTGGGACTCGCTTATTTCACTCAGCATAATGTTTTCCAGATTCATCCATTTTGTGCAAATAACCAGATCTCATTTTTTTTAACCACTGTATAATATCCCATAGAGTACATATCGCATAATTTCTTTATCCAGTCTTCAGTTGACAGGCATTGAGGTTGATTCCATATGTTAGCTATTGTGAATTGAGCTGCAATAAACCTGGAGGTGCAGATAATTCTTTTATTTGCCAGTTTAATTTCCCTTGGGTAAATTCCGAGTAGTGGGATGGCCATGTCATATGGTAGGACTATATTCAGATTTCTGAGGTATCTCCAAACCGTCTTCCATGGTGGTTTTACCAGTTTGCATTTCCACCAACAGTGGATTAGGGTACCTTTTTCCCCATATCCTCGCCAGCATCTGTTGTTTGTTGATTCCTGTATAAGAGCCATTCTAACTGGGGTGAAGTGAAACCTCATTGTGGTTTTGATTTGCATTTCCCTGATGGCTAGTGATCCTGAACATTTTTTCATGTGTCTGTTGGCCATTTGGATTTCCTCTTTTGAAAAATACCTGTTTAAGTCCTTGGCCCATCTCTTAAGTGGGTTGTTTTGTTGTTGTGGAGTTTCTTGATCTCTTTGTACATTCTGGTTATTAATCCTTTATCAGTTGCATAGTTTGCAAATAATTTCTCCCGTTCTGTCAGTTGCCTCTTCACTTTCCTGACTGTTTCTTTTGCAGTACAGAAACTTCTCAATTTGATGTAATCCCATTTGTTAATTTTGCCTTTGACTGACTGTACCTCTGGGGTCTTTTCCAATAACTCTTTGCCTGTGCCAATGTCTTGCAGGGTTTCCCCCAATGTTCTCTAATAATTTGATAATGTCAGGTCATAGATTTAGATCTCTAATCCATGTTGAGTGGATTTTGTGTAAGGTGTAAGGTAGGGGTCAGTTTTTTTCACAGTCCCAGTACAGAAGCCTCACACAGTCACAAGCTCCTAGCCCCCTGTTAGTTCTCCCCATCAGGGTTAGGAGTCTACACTAGGCTGGTTGCTGTGCACAGACATGAGCTGGCACAGCTGTTACATATGTCCAAAATGGTGCCCACTCTATTGGCTTGTTACAGGATACCATTGTAAAGTGAGTGGGAAGAGAGAAACGTAACCATCCTGTCCTTTTTTGTTTGTTTTGTTTTTTTCCTCTAGTACACTCTCCCCAACGGCGCTCCAAGCTGGGTTCCCTCTAGGCTCTTCCTGCAGCTTTTTCACAACTGGTTTAGGCTGCCATGGTCTGGTTTCACCTCACTTTCCAACTCTGGTGTGTAGGCTTTTAGCTGCTGGAGTCCTGAGCCGTGGGTACCCATGTTCTCCACGTAGGTCCACTGTATCTCTCTAATTTCAGTAGAGTTTCCTCTCTGTTTTCTCCCTAACTCTTCCGTGATACTTAGTTTTACCTTCTTCTAGCATATATTATTATTGTAATTATTAATGTTAATGTGTATATTTCATGTGTGTTGCTTTGTATATGGACATTTTTTAAATTTTCCATGTTTCTGTGTGGATTTGGGGTTTTAAAAATATGCTTAAAACTTTGTTATTTAAAGTATTACTGATATTTTTCAGACTATAAATTTTAACTATTTATAGCTAATTTTTAAAAAAGATTATTTATTTATTTGAGAGGTACAGTTACAGGCAGGGAGAGGGAGAGGGAGAGGGAGAGAGAGAGAGACAGGTCTTCCATCTGCTGGTTCACTCCCCAGATGGCCACAAATGTCAGGGCTGGGCCAGGCCAAAACCAGGAGCCAGGAGCTTCTTCCAGGTCTCACACATGGGTACAGGGACCCAAGGACTTGGGCCATCTTCCACTGCTTTCCCAGGCCATAAGCAGAGAGCTGGATCAGAAGAAGAGCAGCCGGGACACAAACTGACAACCATATGGGACGTTGGCATCACACGTGAAGACTTAACTTACTATGCCACGGCACCAGTCCCTATAGCTAATTATTTTTAGTTAGTAAAATGAAATTCTTTTTTTTTTAGTACAGTTAATCAATCTAATGAACATGTCCTGAAGTTTCTATTGTACAAGTAGATTTTTTTTTTTGGTTTAGGTTATAAACTAAGTAACTTATTGCATTTGTTTGACTTGCTTGCCATGCATTATCAAAAACAAGTGATGTATTTCTAACATAGAATGTAAAAATGGCACAGAGAAAAGCTCAAGTACTGATGGAGGATTTCAGCTGTCGCTCCCCCTCTTCGTGGAGGAACGACACAGGACCCTGCGCTGTTCTTTCGTCTGCTCGGCCCTCCCCGGGTTTGCTGCTGGTTCTTCCCGGGTTGGCTACTATCCCTTCCACCTCCGTGGAAGGGCAGTTCCCCCTAGCCACATTCCCCACTTCCGCAGGGGAGCGGCACACCGCCGGCCGGCTTTCTCAGGGGCTGCACGGGTTCCCTTAGATGTTCCCCATAGATGTTCCTGGTGCATGCCGTCTCTCTCCTCCTTTATAGTCCTCCTCCGCCAATCCCAACTCGGCTGCCCACACGCCGAGTACGCTGCTCTCCTCCAATCAGGAGCAAGTCCTACAGTTTATTAGTTGAACTGGAGGCAGCTGTGCGGAAGCTGTTCACTTCTCTCCCAGCGCCACATTGTGGGAGAGCAGATGCATAGAATAAGTCTTAATTCCAGTAACTCAGTCTAGTCCGGTTGCTCCCCACATCAGCAACCTGGAAGATGCCACGTTCAATGTAACTGCCAAATCTGAGCCTTGATGACGAAGAATTTTGGCCCTTGAGGATAAAAAAGACAGGGAGCACGGTTGGGACCTGTACGAGAAAATTTCTTGAGGGAGTAGAACTTTTTGGAAAGAAGAATCAGAAACCATGGCCTCCTAAAGTTTTTAATGGCATAGATGAGGTTCTGAGCATATGCGGAAGGGAGACAGATTTCAGAAGATAAATGTCATTCTTGCAAGGTGTCCGGCGCCATAACAAATCTTCCCAGGCAGACGAATCGATTAATTCACAGGCTTTTATTGGGGTTCCGCTCCCGGGCACGGTTCCCCGGTCCCAACAGAGCAACAGAGCAGGGGGCCAGGGAAGTCGCACATCAGAGATTGGGAGAGCTCCTTTTATAGATTCAGGGCGTGGGGGTTAAAGGTTGAGGCGGGTCTGATCCTCATTGGTTGACCTTTAGGCACCCCCGGGGACCTTGACAAGGACTTTTCTTCCCCGCAAGTACAGGTAGGAACTTTCCATTCCTGGAAGTGTAGGCCTTCCCTCCTTGCGGGTCCCAAAGCTACCAATTCTTTTCTTCCACAATTTAAAAAGACAGCACTTTGAGAGAATTGAGGGATTGTGAACATGAAAATTATGATTCACTGCCGGCAGTGGTGTGGAAAGAACAGATACCAGATGCTGCTGCAAGTGGGCTTGGAAGCACACTTTGTGAGGCCCTGATAGAAGCACCGGCTTTCTCAGTGTAGGGGCGCTCACTTCCTTTTTGGTAAAGAGTTTTAATTTTACCCATAAATAGGCAGTAAAACTAACAACGATGGGGGACGTTTGCCCTAGAGTTCAGATCGCTGGTTAGGACCCTTGGTGTTCTTTCCTGACTCCAGGTCCTGATTCCAGATTCCCACCCATGCAGACCCTGGGAGACAGCAGGTGATAGCTTAAGTTGTTTTCGACATTGCTACCCTCAGGGGACATCTGGGCAGCATTCCCAGCTCCTGGCTTTGGTCTCAGCTACAGTGGGAATTTGGAGTGAACCAGTGGATGGGAGCATGTGCTTATCTCTTTCTCTCAAATAAAGGGGGGGAGGAGCTTTAAACCTTTAACAAAATAAAAATTGTAAAATCTTTTAGACATTTTAAAATTTCTATTTTAGGAGGAGCAGATTTTCTGGGGATGGCACAATGATGTCCACGTGTTTGACACAAAGACACAGACTTGGTTTCAACCAGAAATTAAAGTAAGTGCTGTAAAAAGGTAACTGTGTACTCTGAAATTCATTGATACTTTTAACATCTGATTTGTGCCAGTTGACTTGGATTTTACTAACAGGGTTTGTAGTCACATGGTTCTCTTGAATACTCACCAATACTTTTCTTTTTCGCTAATCACACGTTTTTCTCAAGGTCAGCTAAGATTTTCTAGAAAAGATCTTTTAGCACAGTGCCCTCATTTAATGAAGGCTTTTTTCAAAAGTCCTTTTACAACAAAGTTCATGATTTTTTTTTTTTTTTATATTTGACAGATAGAGTTAGAGAGAGAGAGACAGAGAGAAAAGTCTTCCTTCCATTGGTTCACCCCCCAAATGGCCAGCATGGCCTGCACTGCACCGATCGGAAGCCAGGAGCCAGGTGCTTCCTCCTGGTCTCCCATGCGGGTGCAGGGCCCAAGCACTTGGGCCATCCTCTATTGCCTTCCCGGGCCACAGCAGAGAGCTGGCCTAGAAGAGGAGCAAATGGGACAGAACTTGGCGCCCATATGGGATGCCGGCACCGCATCTGGAGGATTAGCCAAGTGAGCCATAGCGCCGGCCCCCAAAGTTCAAAGTTTTTGAAAGCCCATGTTTCATAAACTCTTGAAATACACTGTCAGTACTTGTTCATTTACCAGTGACCAAACGCAGATTAGTTTGAAGCAATAATGAATTTCCACATGGCTGGAAAGAGTATCGGAGAGGCTCACACAGGGGAAGGAAACACCAGAGGGACCCAGGGGCTCAGGAACTGGAGCAGGTTACTCAACACCATCCCAGTCTTTCCACCTCGGGTCTGCTTTCCTCTGCTCCTCGGTGAAAATCAGCACCAGGCATTTATACTTGATTGGATTTTCCTTTAGGCAACACTTGGATTCTAAGATTTGTGTCTTTTATTAATAAAACAGAAGAGTTTTGCATCTGTTAAGGTAATTTCATGTCAGCAAGTAGGTGGGGAGAAATATTACTCAGATTGAGTCTGATGAGACTAATCCTAGATCTCTTTCAGGCCTCTTAACTCTACTCCCTTAGAGAAAAACCAAGGTTCCGAAGCTACTGAAAGAGTAGTTTTTAGCCCGCGCTCCTATAGGTGAATGACCTGAGGTTGGTTTTAATTCATTTTCTGGACTTGGTGTGGTTCTCCGACTCCTTATCTAATCCAGTGTCCCTCCCCTGCTACTCCACAGTCCCATCTGCACACGACGCTGTTTTAGTTTCTACTGAACGATATTTTCAGTTATTTCCCTATTGATGTCTTCAAGTAATTCCAAGTATGTGTGACAAAAGGCAGGAGAGCACGGTGGAATATGCCAGTTCCTGGTGTTGAAGCTGAGAAAGCTGGATCTGTGTTCTAATTGTGTCAGAAAGAGCTGTGTACTTCCAGCCACTTGGTAAACCAGAAAGCACTGACCATGTTTTCCTACATGAAATTTTTGCCTCTATGAGAACAATACCAGTTGTAGTAGTGATCTTTGATATATTTTTTTCAGTGTTTCGAACAATAAGCGTTATACATTACTTATGCAGTTAGACACACAAACTAATGCCAATGCCAAGTCTTTGTTTTTGTTGTGTTATATGAACTCATAGCTTTGGATGGCTTTGAAAATTGTACTTCATAAACAAAAAAGGAAAGATTAGATATGTATTTCATGATAAATATGTTTATAGTAGAATAATTATTCTAGTATTTCAGATCAGGGATGGGATAATAATAAAAATTTTGTTTTGCTGGGAGAGGTGGGAACTAAAACACGGAAGTGTTCTTTCTCATTTAAGTGCAATGTAGATATTATCTGAATTATTTCTTACCAAGTTGACTTCAGCACAATTATGTAATCCTGAAAAGTTAAGTTTTCATGAATTTTAGATATAGAGCTTAAACTTGCCCGCATTCAGTAGCCATGAAGCTGAAAATGTTCTTTCAGAACCTGGAGTGAAATAAATTCACAAAGGCACCCACCATGAACACATTTAGGCAGAGAATTCTTCCTTCAAATTTCATTCCTCCATCTATCCATTATACTGCTGCTTTTCCCACCATTAAAAACTTCTCTTAAAAAAAAAAAGTCTGCTCTATTTATTCACAGTAAAATTTGGAGAAGTTAATATTGAGAGTTTGAGGGTGGGCATTTGGCACAGTGTTGAAGCTGCCACTTGGCACCCACGTTGTGTCTTGGAGTGCCTGGGAGTGAGTCCTGATCTCGATTCCACTTCTGAGCCAGCCTCCTGCCGGTGAGCACCCTGCGAGGCAGCAGGTGATCACTCAGGTGGTTGGTTCCTGCCACCCACGTAGGAGGTCCGGATTGAGTTCCTGTCTCCTGGCTTTGTCCGGGCACAGCCCTGGCACAACCAGCATCTGGGGAGTGAGCCAGCAGATAGGACATCTTTGCCTGGCTCTTTGCCTTTCAAATAAATAAAATTATTTTGTAAAAAAAAAAAAAAAAAAAGAGTCTTAGTAAAGCACTTTTTGACTTAAGCCAGAAGTGAAGTTCTTCTTGTGAGTTTGAGGCACCAAGAGTTCTGGGGGCATGTGCAATTTTGTAGTCTCTGATATCATTGCATTGTGTTCTACTGAGTCCCACCGTTAGCTCTCTGCGTGTGTGCCTATGAGAAGATTTTTAAATTTCCTTTTTTAAATCCTTGCATTTCAACTTAAAATGTACATAAAATCTTATTTTGCTGAATGGTCGGGGAAAATAAATTTCATTCTGGAAGGATGGTATTTGTCTACAATTATTAGCATTTACAATGAGCTTTTCCATTAGGGTTTGTCATTGTACTTAGTGCTCAGTCTGTTTTGTTGGGAGTGTGGGAATGTGACTTTATTACAGCTGTCTCAAGTCTGTTCCCTCTGTCCTGGCCTCTGCTTACAGGGTGGAGTTCCACCGCAGCCACGAGCCGCGCATACGTGTGCAGTGCTGGGGAACAAGGGGTACATCTTTGGCGGACGTGTTTTGGTCAGTGTTTTTTAATGGAAATTGTATTTTTATGTGTGATCCCTCTTATAGAAATTTATTCTCTGATTTTGTGGAACAATTGAATCTTCAAATAATCTAGAGAATAAATATCACTTAATAATATCTAGAGAAAATATCACTTAATAACTTTTATGTACTTTTTCCAAAACAGACCATAGACAAGCAGTTACAGATGGTTATAAGTCATATTTTCTTGAGAAGAATCCTTCACTTCAGTGCAGTATCAGAAAAGTTGTATTGTCTATCATCTAAATATCTAGTAATATAAACCCTTTTCTTCCCATTTGACTTGTTAACTCAGGAGCACTATGCTAAATTTGTTCATGCTTAGCATTGGTTTCTAGTGTTTAAATTTCTGATGTTAAATAAAATGAAAATAGTTTATTTTTCATCTGAACTTATTTTAAAACCAATATTTTGGCCAATAAAAATTCAAAAGACTGACCAGTTTAACTCACCTTTATTTTAGCAAACGAGGATGAATGATTTGCACTATCTAAACTTAGATACCTGGACTTGGTCTGGAAAGTAAGTTTGATACCCAAGTACATTTGAATCTACAGGCATTTGTGAAAGGGATGGGCACTGGACTGATGAGTTTTCTCACTTCATTTTGTATGTATAAGCAAGTAATAAACGGTTTACATAGTTCTTCCCTTGACCAAACTATATAGAGCAAGCAAATTCTGTCAAATGGAAACTGATGATGTTTTTGTAGTAAATACTCTTTGAGGACTGGTCAGCAAAAGTAATGAAGGAGTGGTTGAGTGGAATCATCTCAGGTGGACAGATAATGGAGTGGATAAAGAGCAGATTTTATTTATGGTTCAAAAGATGAATCTAACAATAGAATAAGTGTACAAATATTCAAAAAGTTCATGGAAAAAGAGAATTGAAAATCAGTTTATTTGGGTGCAAAGAAACTTTGAAATCTATGCATAGTCTTTTTCATCAGGTACTTTTTCCAGGTGCCTGTTGAAGACACGTGCTTTCTAGCTCTCAGTTAGGCTATGCAGGTAGGGAGATGAAATCCAAGCTATGTATTATTCCAAAGTGTATACACTGTTAAAATAAAGCTTTGAAAGTGTCAGAAGAAAATATAACAGATTATCTAAAAAAGGTTGACATGGAGAAAGCTCTTCTAAAGATGACATAAGCCCAAACTTCAATGACTATTAAAATTGCATAAAAATTAATATTTCTCAACAACAACAACAAAAAAGGTGTGTAGGTGGGACTCATAAAATTAACTTGTTTTCAGAGCAGTGAGGGCAGTTTTTTCCCTTTAAGATCTATGAGGATCAAAAACCTGTTATTTCGATTCATGCAGTACCTAGATTTTAACTTTTTTCCTCTTTGCCGCAGGATTCAGATTAATGGAGAGAGCCCAAAACATCGGTCCTGGCATACTTTAACACCCATCGCTGATGATAAGCTTTTCCTATTTGGTGGCCTAAGCGCGGATAATATCCCATTAAGTAAGTCAGTTCAAGTTGAGCCTGCTCTCTTTATCGCACCCCTTTTTCTCAGCTGTCCCTCATGTTTGCGGTGAAGCAAGTCTTCGTTTTTCCTCTCGTTCTTGTTTGCCTTTGTCCCCCACTAGATGCTTGGGTTAAGAACCAGGAGAGGAAGCCTCTCTCCATGAACTCCTGTTTCCTAGAGAGAGAGCAGAGGGAGCCACCTTCCACTCTCATATTCTGTAATTCTGGGTCCTCTGGATTTTTTTTTAATCTTGCTGGCTGGGATGGGAATGAGCAGAGTGCCCTTCCCTGGAAGGCTCTGGAAATATAAGATGGGAAGGCCAGTGGTTTTTCCTTTTGCTCCAGAATTGTAGGGAACATGCTTAGCTGGAATTCCTAAACTCCTATCACTGTTGATCTCAGGACCTGTGTTTTGTCATGTAGGTTTGACAAAACAAAATTGTGGCATCAGGATGGACAAATGACCAAGATCCACGTCTTAGTTTGATACGCTGAGTATATGTCCTTAATCCAAAAATTTTCCATGGTTACAGATGTTTTTCATCAGGAAGCATTATATGTCATTAAGAGCATGTCTATAATCTTGTATAGAATCTGTGAACAGCTGTTTGTGGTTCCACGAAAGCCTAGCTTCAGCGATGCGATTGCCAGGCTGCTGGCCACAGATGGGCGGCAGCGGCTCGCTGGAGGAAGAGCAGCTGCGGCAGGGGATGGCAGTTAGTCCTGCAGACTGTGATACGTCTCCAGTTCGTGAGATTTTTAATTAAAAGAGATTCGAAAACTAACCAAAACTCACATCCGTACCTCTCACTGGGGATTGTTTAATGCCGTATCTATGAGCTCTAGTGTTTTTAATTCCTGTTTGCTGGTCCTGGTCATTGATCTTTGGCAAATTAAATGCCCTAACTCTCAGTCGATTTCCTCCCTTCAGACTCAGCTTAAGATTTGGACATATGAATAGCAAGAAATTATGTTTAGTTTTGGTGACTGTGATCATAGCATTGTAGTTAGGTTTAAGCTGTCTTTTTTTCCCAGCAATGCATACTGATCTATGTCTGGGGAAATTGATAGAATGTCTAAGTTTTTTTTAAAGATTTATTTATTTATTTGGAAGGCAGAATTACAGAGAGGGAGGGAGGGAGGGAGGGAGAGAGAGAGAGACTGAGACTTCCATCTTCTGGTTCACTCCCCAAATGGCCAAAACAGCCGGAGCTGGGCTGGTCTGAAGCCAGGAGCCAGGAGCTTCTTCCAGGTCTCCCATGCGGATGCAGGGGCCCAAGCACTTGGGCCATCTTCTACTGCTTTCCTAGGCTATAGCAGAGAGCTGGATCGGAAGTGGAGTAGCCAGCACTTGAACTGGAACCCATATGGAATGCCAGCACTGCAGGTGACAGCTTTAACTCCTATGCCTCTGTGCTGCCCCCTCTAGGATTTCATTTAGAATAATTCAGCAACAAAAATAAAATCAAACTGGTAAATTAGAGCACATGTGAGAATATCTTGGTAGTTCTTCAATCTGGAAATCCGTGGGGGTTCTTGGTCGCTCTGCTTTTATAGATGTTTGTGGTAAGATGTGCATTCACACAAAAGATAGTCATTTGACTGTAACATGATAAGCTTGGAAGATAATTAAAATTGTGTTCCAAGACCTAATCTTAATTTCTGAACTGTCATATTGCAGGTGATGGTTGGATTTATAATATCATAACAAATTGTTGGAAACAGCTTGTATATTTACCTAAAACGCGACCCAGGTAAGTCTAGAAATTGACAAATGGTAAAATAGTTAAGAATTTTTAAAGTATTAAAATGTAGCACTAAGTTTATAGTGTTTGCCATTGATATCATAAACCATCAGGAAGGATATCTTTCAAATGACTTTGATGTTACCTAATTGAGTTATCATTTCAGTTAAATATAATGGTTAGTCATTATCTATCTAGTTTTGATCCATATTTACATATTTGAAAATGTTTGTTCTTTTAGGTAAATGTATGATTTTGCCTGATAAATGTGAGAAAGCTAAGATAATTTAAAGTATCATGTAATATTGATCTTTTAAATGTTAATATTTTTAATAGGTAGACAAGAATGATGTTGGCTTTAATAGTAACTCCTTGTTTTTAGAAGAATTCAAAGTAATTTAATGAAGAAGACAGTAGATGGCAGAAAATCATTTTAATTAACTGTCTGATATATTCATTAATATAAATTTTTAGAAAAATAAAATGTTATTTGTGATATAGGATTAAAAATTGTAGAAACAATTACTTGCATTATATTATAAAGAAAAACACATTAATACTGTAATTCTTATTTTTTGAAGTTTGAAAAATATTATAAAATTATTTTCATAGGAAATTTGGATTCATATCGTAATCATTATAGTTGATAATAGATTTTATTATTTTTATGTCATGTATTTTATTTTTTTATTTATTTATTTTTACTACAGATTGTACTAGTGTGAAGTCAATTTAATGATATGTATATTTGTTATTTGTAACAATTAAGTAATTACTTGAGAAAAAGACCAGAAAATATTTATGTATATTCTGGCATATTTATCTCTATGGATATGCACAGTATATTTAGACTTTATCGTAATTACATATCTGATTTTTATATGTTCATGTATAAAAATTCATTGAAATGTATTATTTTAGTAATTCTGGCTCTTTTGAAATATGTAGTTTTTTAATTTAAAGAATTGTGTCTTAAGATCTGGGAGACCAAAGTTCTAGTCCTTGCTCAGCTATCTCTTAGCAGTAGCATCTTGGCCTTGAGAAGTCACGTAGAGACGCTGAGCGTCAGTGTCTTCAAGTGTGGACTGAGAACTGGACTAGATGCTCCCTAAGTTCCTCCCAGCTTCGCCATCACATGAGTGCGTTAATGACAGAAACAAAATGTGGTCAACTGTGTACTTTTAGAAATGCTCCTATTTTGTATCTCAACCCGTAATACGTAACTAGAGCAACAACTATAATTAATAATATGCCAGTTAGAACTAGAGCTATGTAGAGATTTCTTTTCATTCAGCTGATATGTGACGTCAATCATATGCTTTATTAGCATGTTTAGGTGATAAGTTTAGAGCAGCTGAGAGGACAGAAACTCAGTCTGTAGAAACACATCAGGTTGCAAGCTAGATGTCCCGAAAACGAGGCAGGAAAGGCTTCCCAGTGTTCCTCGGTGACGAAGTCAAGGCCAGAGTTTCCCTCAGGCAGATAAGACAGAGCAGATCTATCTTCGGGTCTGAGGTGAGGAGGAGAACAGGTGGGATACAGTTGAGTGTAAGGAGAACATAAATGTGTATATGTGCTGATTCTTTATGCAAGTGCCGATCTAGTTAACATCAACTGTGTTTTATGCAAACTCGGACGAGTTATGAGCTGAAGCGCAAGCTGCCCAATTCTCCTGTTAGAACTCTGCGGGGGGCGTCTCAGCCTCAGCGCTGTCACATCCTGGGTCACATTCCTCCTGGTGGTCAGTGTGACCTGTGCGTCTTCCAACTGGAGCAGCATTGCTCTTCCTTACCCACCGGTTGCAGATGGCGCTACCTCTCCTTTCCCCAGCTTGTGACAGCCAAGCATTTCTACGGATACTCAGAGGTGCCCCTGGGAGACAAATCACCCCTGACTAAGAACCATTGTTCTGGGGCCAGCACTGTGGCATAGTGGGTAAAGCTGCCGCCTGCGACACTGCCATTCCATGCGGACACTGGTTTGAGTCCCAGCTTCTCCACTTCCAATCCAGCTCCCTCCTAGTGTGCCTGGGAAAGCAGCAGGGGATGGCCCAAGAGTTTGGGCCTCTCCGCCCATGTGGGAGACCTGGGAAGGGCTCCCAGCTCCTGGCTTTGGCCTGGCCCCGCCCTACCCTGGCCAATGTGGCCATATGGGGAGTGATCTCTCTCTCTCTGACTGTCTGTCTCTCTCACTTATTCACTCTCTAGCTCTGCCTTTCAAATAAATAAATACGTATTTTAAAAAGGGAAAAAAAAAGAAACCCCACTATTCTACAGTAACCCTCTTTCCTCCAGGCCTCCCCTTTAATAAAACCATGCTTGTTTGAACAAACATCTGTGTAGCCATAGCTGAGAACCTATATGGGTGGCTGTTGGCAAGGATCCTTTTCTGTGTGTCTGTCACGTGGTGATAGATAAAGCCTTAAATACATTTGGATCCCATGTACATAGGCAAGATTACATGTGTCTTTTCCCCAAGGAATTGAGGTGTTCCTTCCCATATATGAGGGTGTTCAGTGTATTCCGTCTGCTTTACCCAGCCCCCAGCCCCAACCCCACCACTAATCTGGGTTCTTGCTGAGAATTCTTATCGGTTTATGTTCTAACATTTGATCTGGAGAATTGGGCAGAGCATTTCGCAAACAGTGTGTCTGATAACTCAGTTTTATTCTGAGTCCAAAGGCATTTGTCATGAATGTGTGTGCGTGGGTGTCTGAGGAAAGTATTTAACAAATTGTGTGTAATCCTGCTGTTTGCACTCATAGAACTTAAATGAAAGATTAATGTACTAAAAACAAGTTATGTGACATGAAATAAATGGTGATGTGTAAATGTCTTAGGCTTTTGTTGCTTCAGCAAGTTGGTTTACTAAGAAAAGTAATCAAGGTACTCGTAGACTGGAAGCAGTAACTGAAATCCTTGATGGAGCCTCTGATATTGAGGAATCTACATGTACATCTTTCTGAGAGGCAGAGCCTCGGGAGTTACTGAACCTATAAAACCATCTTGGTAAATAGTGTGGACTCAGACAGCTGTGAGCTATCAGACCATTTACAAAAGACCCTAAGAGGCTCCACTCTTATGAAAGAATGTGTCTGTGTAGCCATTTAACCATTGAGCAAATTATATGGGTTTATCATGTGTGCTTTCGCTCATAGGAAGTACTCAGAGTGAGGCATTTTTAAGGAGAAACATAAAATTAGAACACTCAGGTGCCAGGGAGAAAGCAAAACCCCAGGAGGTAGCATTTGCTGGTTTGGGCTGTCAACACCCCCACCATCACCCGTTTCAGGCAGCCAAGGTGATGTGACTGAACAGGGAGCTGAAGCCCCTGGTGAGCTGGTGCCAGCCCAGCGCTGCAACTGTGGGCGACCTCCAGGTCTCCTGTCTCCCTAGCTGGCAGTAGTGTGCAGAGCAGCTGACCAATAGCTGTAGGCTAGGGGAGAGTCACATGGGTATACGCGTGGGAAAGGGGGCTGACCAGGGCTGGCACCAGAACCAGTTTGAGTGGATATCTGAAACAACCATGGGGTCTTGAGCCTGTTTTTAGGGCTCATTCTAAGAATCATCTTAAGCCTGGAAAATAAAAAGGGTGAATAAGAGCTTAGAGGTTGATAGAAGCTTTTCTCTTAGGGGAAGCCAGGAAATGGAGTTGGCTGAAGTCGAGGGCTCATCTGGGGAGATTTGCAGGCAAAGGAAGCTGCAGTTCCTGCTTGCTCACTGTCCGGCTGGGAAGAGCAGCTGTCAGTGGCACCGGTGCTTATTCAGCTGCCAGTCTCCACGGTTAAAAGCAGTCCTGGAGAAATATTCAGTAGCTCTCTGCAGCCGGGGCGAGGGCGGGGAGGAGATTGGAGACAAAAACCAGCAGCGTACTCCGGGAGTCTGCCCTCGGGGGTGTGAGTAGTGTGACCACGGGAGTGTGAGGGACCGCCAGGCTGGACTGGTTGGGCCGTGGGGAACATAGAGCAGGAGAAGTGGTGAGCGCCCCCACCAGGCAAATAGAAATAAGAAAGCCAGCACAGGCGCTGCTTTCAGTGACTGGTTGATCAGTTGCTTTTTATCAAGGATAATATTTGATAATATTATGAGTTAAAGGGCTTGGGAAATGGCCGATAACTAGAGTTATCAGAAGTCATATCCTTAACTGGAATGATATGATATAGTGAACTCTGAACGAATATTTAAAATCTTATATTTTGAGGCTATGTTTACAAAGGTTCAAGTTCAGTCAGGCCTCTCTTGAAATAGATTAAATTTTAGTATGTGCAGTTTAGAATTGGTTTGTATGTAATGGATAGTTCCTTCGCCGACAGTATTTCACTCTGCTTATAACTCAATCATAGGTTATGGCACACAGCCTGTTTGGGAAAAGAAAATGAAATAATGGTATTTGGTGGAAGCAAAGATGATTTACTTTCCTTGGACACAGTAAGAAAATCTTATATCTAAATATTTCCCTTGAATAATAGTATTCTTCAAACTAAATGGCTATTCAACAAAAATGTTGGTATTCTAACACTGTAAAATATGGAAGAGCATTAATCCTCAGAATGAATGGATTTTGCAAAGTATATGAGAATATTGTGGGTTTACAAACCAAAATAGCTCTATTAATTTCATTAGTCACATTACTAAAAAGAGTTTTTTTAAAAAAAGATTTATTTATTTATTTGAAAGTAAGAGTTACACAGAGAGAGAAGGAGAGGCAGAGAGAGAGAGAGAGAGAGAGAGAGTGTCTTCCATCTGCTGATTCACTCACCAATTGGCTGCAAAGGCCGGAGCTGCACCAATCTGAAGCCAGGAACCAGGAGCTTCTTCCAGGTCTTCCACATGGGTGGAGGGGCCCAAGTACTTGGGCCATCTTCTGCTGCTTTCCCAGGCCATAGCAGAGCTGGATCAAAAGTGGAGCAGCCAGGACTCGAACCTCTGCAGAGAGGCAGAGGCAGAGAGAAAGAGGTCTTCCATTTGCTGGTTCACTCCCTAGATGGCCACAATGGCTGGAGCTGGGCCAGGAGCCAGGAGCTTCTTTTGGGGCTCTCATGCAGGTGCAGGGCCAAAGCACTTGTGCCATCTTCTACTGCTTTCCCAGGCCATAGCAGAGAGCTGGACCAGAAGTGGAGCAGCAGGGACTTGAACCGGCACCCATATGGGATGCCAGCACTGCAGGCAGTGGCTTTACCCGCTATGCCACAGCACCGGCCCCTAAAAAGAGATTTTAATGGATGACCCTTCTTTTTTCTTTGAGCCCTCCCCCCCATAGTATGAATCAAAAGTTATTTATTGAATTTAAATATTTGTATATCATATTTGATACGTGAGAATTTTTATAATTTGTATGTTCAGCATAACAGATATCCATGAAATTTGCTTGCTAATTTAAGAACTAAATCATCTCATTGATTCTGTTTATGCTGTCCATTTATTCCTCTTACTTTTACTCACTAGCTTCTTCTCTCAAGAGAAAACCATCTTGTTGAAATGTTTAAAGTGTATTTTTTAAAGATTTACTTGTTTATTTGAAAAGCAGAGTTACAAAAGGAGAGAGAGAGAGAGATTCCATCTGCTCCTTCACTCCCCAGATGGCCACAACAGCCAGGGCTGGGCCAGGCCAAGGCCAGGAGCCAGGAGCTTCTTCTGGGTCTCTCAAGTGAGTGGCAGAGGACCAAGCACTTGGGCCATCTTCTACCCTTTTTCCCAGGCCATTAGCAGGGAGCTGGTGGGACATGAACCAGCACCCATATGGGATGCTGGTGTCGCAGGTGGCTGTTTTACCTGCTACACCATAATGCCAGACCTTTAAAGTGTATTTTATTTTTATTTTATGCATCTTTTGCCCCTGTGACCCAGCTGTTTGAGTTTCAGGCCTGGTAGTTTTAGGGTGTTCAGCCTATGGTTAAAATGGCCATGTCAGAGGGCCTGGTTTCAGTACCCAGCTCTGGCTGTTGATGCTGTCTTCCTGGCAGCCCAGACTTTGGGAGTCACCCATGATGGCCTAAGTAATTGAGTTTCTGCCACTCCTGCGGGAGACTTGGATTGAGTTCCTGGTTTCCAGCTGTGCCATGGCAAGTTTCTGGGGCACGCACTAGCAGACTGGAGCACATGCCTTCTCTGTTTCTCTCTCTCAAATAAATAGAGGAAGGGAGGGAAGAAGGAAAGGAGGGAAAAAATTATCCATTATTGTTTAAAAATAGCATTCCCGTTTTAAACTCTAATAAACCTAAGGTCAAAGTAATGAATGAGTGGCATTTGGTGAGTATTGTTCTTTCACCCTGAGCAGTTTTAGAAATTCAGAGCCAGGTGGCTACACTCCTACTTTGCAGGTGCTGGGACAGGAGTTCAGGGTGGATTACTCTGGTCTGTACAGGACACGGGACAGTAGAGAGTACCAGGACAGGGCCATCAGTGGTGGGGCATAGCCAGCCTACCTGAGCCAGAGTCCAACCAGAAAGCCCTGGCTCCCTGTCATCTCCAGGCACAGTTTTGTCCCCAGAGCTGCTGAGATGGGAACTGAAATAAGGAAGCTTGTCTCCAGTGGATGTGACGCCGTTTGTGGTTCTGAGGCTTCCAGCTTAACTGTTTATGTATGTCGAAAGTCTTAGCGCTTTCTTTGGCTGAGAATTCCTTGGTTCCCTAAAACATAAAAACCACAAGTTTGCATTTAATTAAAAATCAAATGTTGTCTTCTCTTTGTTGGCATTAGAAGTCTTTATTTAGGACAGAAAACTTACCATCAGAACGTGAGTTTGGGCGAGTGGGTGTTTAGCTTAGTGGTTAAGGTGTCTGTGTCCCACCTTGGAGTGCCTGGGTTCAGTCCCCAGCACCAGCTCCTGAGTCCAGCTTCCTGCTGATGCAGACCCTGCAGGCCACAGTGATAGCTCATGTCATTGGGTCCCTGCCCCTCACGTGGGAGCCAGGATTGCATTCCCAACTCCCGGCTCCCTGGTCCCAACTCCTGAGTCCCCACTTCAGCCTGGTCCAGCCCTGGCCCTTGCAACTGTTGCAAGCATTTGGGAAGTGAATCAGAGTGGGAAGTCTCTTTCTCTATCCATCTATCTGTCTTTCTGCCTCTCCTCTCTTTGTGTCTCTCAATAAATGATTTTTTAAAAAAATAGCAATTCTGCTTAAAAATATGATCATAAATTATGAACTTCTGAAAACCCATTTGAAAGAATTATCAGGGCTGGCATTGTGGCATAGCAAGTAAAGCCTGTGATGCCAGCATCCCATATGGGGTCTGGGTCAAGTCACGGCTGATCCACTTCTGATCCAGTTCCCTGTTAATGGCCTGGGAAAGCAGTGGAAGATGGCCCAAGTGCTTGGGCCCCTGCACCCTCGTGGGAGACCCGGAAGAAGCTCCTGGCTCCTGACTTTGGCCTGGCTCCATCCTGGCCATTATGGCCATCTGGAGAGTGAACCAGCGGTTGGAAGATCTCTCTGTCTTCCCCATTCTTTCTGTAACTCTGACTTTCAAATAAATAAATAAATCATTTTTTAAAAAAATCATTAAAATATTGGAGAAAAGTTCTGCTCCTTCTTCTGCATTAACTTTTAGGTGAAAGACTCATCCAAAAAAGTCTCCCAGATCTGGATTTTTAAAAAATTTTTTTTAAAGATTTATTTATTTGAGAGGCAGAGTTACAGAGAGAGAGAGAGAGACAGAGACAGAGACAGAGAGGTCTTCCATCTGCTGGTTCATTCCCAAAATGACCACAAAAGCCAGAGCTGGGCCAATCCAAAGACAGGAGCCAGGAGCTTCTTATGGGTTTTCTACATGGGTGCAGGGGCCCAAGCACTTGGGCCATCTTCCATTGGCTTCCCAGACTATTAGCAGGGAGCTATTTTTTAAATTTAAAAAAATAAAAAAGATTTTATTTATTTATTTGAAAGGCAGAGCCACAGAGAGGCAGAGGGAGAGAGAGAAAGTCTTCCATCTGCTGGTTCATTCCTCAAATGGCTGCAATGGTCAGAAGTGCACCGATCTGAAGTCAGAGGCCAGGAGCTTCTTCTGGGTCTCCCACATGGAGCAGGGGCCCAAAGACCTAGGGCATCCTCTACTGCCTTCCCAGGCCATAGCAGAGAGCTGGATAGGAAGAGGAGTAGTCAGGAGGATGGCCCAAGTGCTTGGGCCCTGCACCCGCATGAGAGACCAGGAAAAGCACCTGGCTCCTGGCTTTGGATCAGCACTGGCCGCAGCGGCCATTGGAGGGTAAACCAATGGTAAAGGAAAACCTTTCTCTCTGTCTTTCTCTCTCTCACTGTCCACTCTGCCTGTAAAAAAAAAAAAAAAAGAAAGAAAGAAAAAAGAAAAAGAAATTATAAAGGGAAGACATAAAATAAGGATCGTTTGGAAGAAAAAGTTCTGTTTAAAAAGCAAAACAGTTTGAACACTTCTACTATTTCCAGTTTCAACTCACTGAGAAGAAAGTGGTTTTGGTCTTTAAATTTGCAGTTTTTTAGGCTGTTAGGTGAAACTTTGGTCACTGCAAGTGGGTAAGCACATAGCCAAGGTGTCTGTGTGCGTGCTTGCGTGCACACGTGTGTTTGCATGTGTTTGCTTGTGAACAGCTGGAGAGATTCATTTGCTGCTTGACACATTTCTTTTACATTTATAAAATGAAAAGTAATCAGCTGTTAATGCTCTGTTACGTCTTTCAGAAACCTTGATGAGACCTTTTTTATTTTGATTAGGGTCACTGTAATGATTTATTGATCTTTCAGACTCAGCCTTATTCACTGCTCAGGTAAGCGATTTCAGTACTTATACAAATATGACCATGAATGTACGACACTTTCTTCCTCCTTTCTGGGAAGAATTACAGTATTTTTCTGATTGTTTATAACTTGTGAAAATGTTTACATCTCTCTAAGAGCACAATTAAATTTATTAGTTTTAATTATTCATCAATGTAATTTTGAAAATTATTCAGTACAGTCATACTTTTGTTTGTAAAATCATGTTTAGTTCATACGCTAATAGAAACCATACTGTATGATCTTTTTAAAAATATTTATTTATTTATTTATTTGAAAGGTAGAGTTACAGAAGGGCAGAGGAAGAGAGAGAGAGAAAGAGAAAGGTCTTCCATCCACTGGTTCACTCCCCAGATGGCCGCAACAGCTGGAGCTGGGACAGTCCGAAGCCAGGAGCCAGGAACTTCTTCCAGGTCTCCCATGTGGGTGCAGGGGCCCAAGTACTTGGGCCATCTTCTGTTGCTTTCCCAGGCCATTAGCAGGAACTGGATCAGAAGTTGAGCAGCCAGGATTCAAACAGGCACCCATATGGGATGCCAGCACTGCAGGCGGTGGCTTTACCACAGCGCCAGCCCCCAAAGTGTCTGATGTTAATTCTCAGCCTTTTTTTCATATTTTAAGGTTTTGGAAATCATAATGTTTCTAAATATATGTCATATACATTTACTGTACTCAGGTGTGTGTGTATATAAATAATACACATATTTGATGTAGAAGAATTGTTTACTCCCGAAGCTGTTGTTGGGTTGATGTTATTACTTGCAGTGTCTTAGCTCATACACTCTTGCTCCAGAAGAATGCATGCAAAGTTTAGTGGGAGGATTGTGGAAGAACCCGTTCCTGCCTGCCTGTGAGAGTCATAATGTAGGATTTGAGAGAAGTAGAAATTGCCCACTGAACAAGTGTGTGTGTTTTATGAAGTGGGAATAACATAGGTGAAGTTATATGGAGAGGGGAGGAGACGTGGCATGCTGTGTTTATAGGTGTACACGACGTCTCCCAGGTGTATGCTAAACCTGTTACGTATGATAACTTCACCTTGAACCACCTGAAGGCCATTGCACTAGCTCCCACTTGGCCTTCCTGGAGTTGTTCTTGACGGCTCCTTGTCTTGTTGCAGTAGTTGCCCAACTGGTCTGCACGTAGTGTCTCCTGGGGAGCCTCAGAAACCATCACTGCCTGTGTTCTGCTCCCGCAGATTGTGAGTCCATTGGTCTGAGATGTGGCCTGGACTTTGGAGTTGTGAATGATTTCCAGATAATTCTAATGTGAACACTACTGCTGTCATTATTTATGGTGCCTTGTATTGTTACCTATCTAGATTGCGATTTCCAAATATGCAGGAATTCAGAAATACGTGTGTGCCTACATGGGACAGCACTGTGCTAGGAAATGAAGACTTGGCCATTCTCTGAAAATGCTGGTGATATAGAAAGTGGACCTTAAAACTTTCAGATTTTTTTCTTTAAAAGAAAAAGAAAATCACTTTTAGAGAAGCATACAAAGTTTGTGAGACTCCTGGAGAATGAGGTCCTCTGTGCCCATGGATAAGGTGACAAAGTTTGGAGAAATACTTGCAGAGGTGTTGGTATAAAGATGTGGTGTGTTCTGAAAGCTGTGAACTCCTTAGTATTCCTGAAATGTGAATATGAGACGGAGAGTTACCAGAGGTGAGACTGCGGAAGAAATCAGAAACCCTGGGTTACTGAGGGCCTTTGTTCCTCATGCATTGTAGACCAGAACCCACTACAAAAGAATGGAGTAGGGGAGTGAGATGCTCACGGGAACAGTTGGAAAATTCCTCTGCAGCAGTGTGAATGAGAGACCGGAAGGAAATGTGGTGGGGAAAAGAAATTGGTGAAGGCACTGAGAATGGTAAGGCGTGAAGTGAGAGAGTGAGCTGAAAAGTGCCAGTGGGGCTGAAAAAAAGGAAGGAGGGAGAGCAGGTGGAACGGATTTGGTGGTTAAGGATGCCAAGGAGAAGTGTAGGGAAAATTAGCAATAGAGGGACAATGGAAAAGGTAGCAGTTTTGAAGGTGGGATAGGGTAGAACATTTGATTTCGGATATATTTGAGCTTGAGGAGTGTACAGGCTCTCTAGTGGAACTAGTATTAAATAGTGAAATATATGGGAAGGGCCGTGGGCTGCAAAGAAGTTTAAAGGATCATTGGATTATCAATGAGTACAGCTCTGCCAAGGAAGAGTTCCAATAGCGATGGTCTAGTCATTAAGACACCCATGTCCCAAGAAGTCCCAAGCTCCTTCCTCCAGCTTCCTGCTAATTCAGAGCTTGGGAGGCAGTAATGATGTCTCGAGTAACTGGGTTTGTACCACTCACATGGGAGCCCTCTGTTGAGATCCTGGCCCCTTGCTTCAACCTAGCCCTACCCCAGCCATTGCAGACATTTGGGGAGTGAACCAGCAGGTGGAGAGGTCTCTCTGTCTTTTAACCAAAGAAAAACAAAAAACAAACAAGTCAAACAAAGCAAAACAAAAACAAATAAAAATAGTGGAGAAGGAAGGAAGAATGGATATAAAGACAGAGAAATCTCTTGGTTGGAGGCAAGCAGGGAATGAGGAAGCTTTTGTTGACAGTGAGGCTATCTATGGAGAATGAGAGGTGAGGGTACAGACTTAAGAAGCAGTGGTGCAGGTGTGAAATAGCTGCCGAGGGGCTGCGAGAGGATGCTGGCTAGGGCTGTAGGGCACAAGCTCCAGGGTTGCAGGAACGTGGTCTTCTGTAGTGGCACGAAGTAGCCAGCCTGCAGGTGCAGAAAGATGATGGCTGAGTGTGCCCATCCTGGAGCTTGGCTGGGATGGGGTAACAGAGAGACGGGGAGGAAGGGGATCCACGTCGCTGCCGAGAGAATGAAGCGCCCCTGTGCAAGGCTGGTTACGAAAGGAAGCCGAAACCCGAGGAGAACCAGCAAGAGAGATCAGGGAATGAAAGAACTGCCTGAACATTTCTGGTCCAAGATGGAGATGTGAGAGTTTCAGGTTTCAGAGGTGGAACTGTCCCGAGTGAGGTCCTGAAGACTGAGAAGGGTTTCTACACAGACACTGAAATGGTCAAGCGGAGAGACTGTGGGGAGCCAGGGCCAAAGCCCTCAGTGGCAGGGGGTGGTGGGGGGAGAACAGGCAGGAGCTCAGTAGATAGGCACGCCGAAGGCTGGGTTACAGCTGCCTGGGAGCAGCAAGGAGGTTGCTAACCTGGGTGACTACGCAGATGGTGACTAGCAGATGGATTGCTGCACAGAAAGCAGTTGTCTTGGATTTCAGGTAGAACAGGGACAGAAAGAGGAAGCAGGGGTGTTTGTAGAACACACATCGGGTGTTCCAGAAAGCACAAAGGAGAGGTTTGAGTGTGAAGATAAGCAATCACAGGGAGACGGTCCAGTCTCGTGCTAGGCCGGGACTAAGGGGGACCGCCAGTCTTCACTGCTTCGCGTCACCCGTGGGACGGAGCACTGTGCCTGCGGTGAGTGAGTCCTCTCTCATTTGATACCGAGCACATTTCTGACACATCAGAGCTTGACTAAGGCAGACTTTAGTCATAGTTATTGTGTGGGCCTGGTCACCACAACCAGTTGTCCACAGTGTAGCCACTGTTACTGTATTTTAAATGATAAGTCACGGGGTGTTTAGAACTTACTACACTGAGAAAGAGGAGTAGGATATAGGCCCTCAGAAAGCTTACATGGTCCAGTGGACTTGTGCAGTCATGCCCATCAGACCTCTGGAGGCATGTGTCGCTCCCCCTCTTCGTGGAGGAACGACACAGGACCCTGCGCTGTTCTTTCGTCTGCTCGGCCCTCCCCGGGTTTGCTGCTGGTTCTTCCCGGGTTGGCTACTATCCCTTCCACCTCCGTGGAAGGGCAGTTCCCCCTGGCCGCATTCCCCACTTCCGCAGGGGAGCGGCACACCGCCGGCCGGCTTTCTCGGGGGCTGCACGGGTTCCCTTAGATGTTCCCCATAGATGTTCCCGGTGCATGCCGTCTCTCTCCTCCTTTATAGTCCTCCTCCGCCAATCCCAACTCGGCTGCCCACACGCCGAGTACGCTGCTCTCCAATCAATAGCAAGTCCTACAGTTTATTAGCTGAACTGGAGGCAGCTGTGCGGAAGCTGTTTACTTCTCTCCCAGCGCCATATTGTGGGAGAGCAGATGCATAGAATAAGTCTTAATTTCAGTAACTTAGTCCAGTCCGGATTGCTCCCCACAGCATGTGCCTTTTTTAAAAAATTGCTCTATTATTTATTCTGATTTAAAAAATAGTAGATACTCACCAAGAAAATTTATACATTATAAAAAATATATGGTGGGGAAATAACACCTATGAACCATCACCTAGAGTGATCATGCCTGTGAACTTGGTGTTTGTCCTTCCAGACTTTAAGATGACTTAAGATCATTCTGATGATTTTATTGTGATGGGAGTGGTTTTACTAACTCTATGAGGTCATTGGAAACACAGTGAAAGCACTACACTCATGTGTGTGTGTGTGTGTGTGTGTGTATGCATACAAAGGATCGGGGTATGCATACTGTTTTAAAATTTTTAAAACTTATGGCTATAATGAAATATTAAATATATAACCAATATAATGATTACATATATAAGCATTCAGTTTAATAGGTTTGTGTTTGTCACTATTGACTAGGGTGTTCTATCTTATGGAAGTATAATTTACTAGTCTCTTGATAGAGACTTAGAATATCTGGAGCTTGGGGCTATTAAAAAATCAGGCATGAATTATTCTTGTATATGCCTTTGGAAAATGTGTACATCTCCTCAAGAGAGATTCCTAGAGGGGAGATTGATGGGTCAAAGCATATGCACCTGTTGCATTGTGATGACGCCTCAGAGGTGCTCATCCAGGGATGGGGAACATTTTTTTCTGCCAAGGGCCATTGGATATTTATGAAATCATTTGTGAGCCATACAAAATTATCAACTTAAAAATTAGCCTGCGATGGATTTTGAATTCTGAGTCCCCCTGCCATTGCCTTGGTAGTGCCACATCAGATGATTTTGTGGGTTTCGTGTGGCCCATGGGCTGGAAGTTCCCACTCCTGCAAACTGCAGGTCTCTTACCGCCATGTTCAAGGCCTCTACCCATCTCTTCACCTCATTCCTCACTGTCACGGTCTGCACGCCAGGGATACTTAATCCACAAAACTGTGGTTTCTGTTATCAGTCTGGCCTCTCCTATCTAGGGCTGTGCAGGCTTAGTTCTTGTATTTGGAATATTTTGCTTATTAAATTTGTGGAGGCCTTCAAGGTCTCAGCTCATACTTCCCATCTGTGAAGTTTCCCTGACTTGTGGAGGTCGTCACACTTGTTCCTCCTTTCAGGTTTCCACAGAGCTCTTTACGAGCCATGAGAATTTCATTTTATCCCAGTCCCGACACTTATACCACGTTTTTATTTATTTTCTTTGATAATCCCCTTGATAGCTGGGACAGAGTTTTTCTCAGGGTTGGTTGCAGTAGGGATGTGGTGCACACTGAGAAACCTGTCGAATCGCGGGGCCATCTCCTCCTCTGACTCTTCCCCCACGGTGGCAGGCACACACCACAGTGCACGAGGTGTCAGATTCAGATCACTGGCTTGGACTCATGCATCTGCGAACATTTCAGCTCTCACTGTTTATTTAGAGCAGTCTCAGAATAGGGGGAAAAGGCCTCAAAAAAGTATGGGAGAGTGTAGACATCTCTAGAGTATAAATGATGCCAAAATGACAGCTAAAGTTAACCTCAGGAAAACCGAGTGAGTTATTTAGAAAATTTGCTTAAAGGACTTGCCTTTATTAATTAAAACTTTTCACTTTACATAGATCATTTTTGATATTATTTAGTTTTTTATTGTTGTACACCACTTCAAAGAACGACAATGGAAACAGAGTTGTATTTGGAAGGATACTGCCCTCTAGTGGAACCAAAGGTGGGGTGGGGTAGAGTGGGGAACAGGCAGACAGACATCCCAGACCCCTTAGGAGTAGAAACAAGGAGTCCTTTGTTGGTCTTTCTGTGTTGCCGCTGTAGTCTTGTCTCTGACCTATTCTGTCTGGGTCAACTTAAGTCACATTGCAAACCCAGCACAGTCATTTATGGAAGGGCTTTTGGACCAAGTGGTAAAGTGGTATCAAAGTGACAAGGGAAGAAAAAGACGGTTCTCAGAGAAAGCTAAATGCTTCCTGGACTAACTGGAATGTAAAGAAGGAATGTGCACTGGACTGATCTGTTTTGCCATTAAACTGGACCTTTTCCACTTAGTGAACATTAAGCTTGGTAAGTTGTATTTTTTATCTCCATTGAATTTTGGTCAGATACAGGCTCTATGCATTAAAGATACATGATTATCATGACACTCGGGGGGAAAAAATCCCATCATGTTGCAAACAATGCAAAGCAACACTATTGCTATGTACAATTTTTATATAATTATTTTTATTTTTAGGCACACTTAACCATAAGTATTTTGTATTATGACTTCATGTTCAAAAACTAATCATTCTGTTACATTTTATTTGCAGGTCATGCCTTGACTGCATTGGTAAAAATGCTGTCATCTTAAAAAGTCAAATATCTTTATTACCTCCTAAACTCCTGCAGCAAGTCCTCAAAAAAATAACATTTTGGACTGCAGTTAATCACCGAGAAGAGCAAAGAGTCCAAAAGGAAGAAACAGAAAATAAATATCAGTGAATCAGTAGCAGTTAAATTATTATAGTGTCTATAGATTTCATATGTTTAAACATTTAAATCACACCCACTTACACTCCCCCGTCACACTCCCCAACTGCAGTTTATTTAAGAGAAAAAATCTGAAGCGAAAATGCTCTGTTAATGTAATTATGTGGCGTGGGATATATGGAAGTAAGATGTTAATGCAGATTAATTTATAAACCAATTTCCTTGTCATCTGCCCAACAGATATTGTTTCTGAAAGTAAAGGCAGTTATTACAGAGTTTAGCTCAGTGTGCAGTCTTTACTGGAAACATCATTCAAGTCTGAGAATAAGGAATTGCTCCAAGGACTTCAGCACACACACACACCCTCCCCCAACATAATGGTAGATGTAGATATAAAAACACTTCCTAGCAACTTTGAGAAAGAGTAAATTTTTCAGAAGTTACGTTAAAACTACCTAAGCTTCGCCCTTAGGTTATTATTACCTAGTTATTATTAACTAGTAGAGCTGGGCAGGGATTATTAGAGAGGCAAACACCGGTAAGTATTAAGGACTGACCGCCTGCCCTTGAGGCGGCTTTCCCACGAAGGTGTCCTCAGAGAGCCAGCTGTCTCCCCATCACCCCGTAAGGTACCAGTTTGTCCAGTTTTCTGCACGTGAAGACCGTGTTTAACATAAAGTGGAGGTCTGTGTGCTGCCCAGCCTTTGAAATTTTGAGAAGCGGTGTACTTACTAACCCGGGAGACGCGCTGGGGCCCGTTCTGCCTTGGAAGAATGCTTCCGGAGTGATCTACACGCAGTGCAGGATGCTCCTGCAGAAGCGGGCGCCATGGGAAGCCTCAGGTCGGCCGCCCCGTCCTCCAGAGTTGCTGCTCCGAGACCCCGGGTTGAAAATCGAACCCCTTCCCTTCCATTTTCAGTAGTACCACCTACACAGGAACAGAACACCGGGCTTTGTATTCCTCAAAACAGGACTTTTACCACAACTAAGACATTTTTCCTCCTGTTGTCCCAGTCATACCCTTCCTCTGGAGTAGTAATTGCTGATAATCACCAAAAATCTCAGTGTATAAAATACTCTCCATGAAAATTCTCTCTGAAATCTAAAATGTTAGAAAGAGTATATTTGTATATTGAAATATATATATATAATTTATAATGAAAACTATAGTAATTTGTAGCATTTTATCAAATTTTTGGAGATATATTTTATACATGGATTTTGGATGTGTAAATCTATGTCGAAATATTTTGTGTTTATCTTTTATTTATTGTACAAAGTACAGGACTGAGTTACTGTTTTCATAATTTTGTCAGTGTGAATTAGTCATTAGAGTTGATTGTGCAAAATATTTCATAGTGAGTTTTTTTTTCTTATTCTTTTTAGTGTGAATAATAGGTCTGGAAAAGGAATAGCGTGCCATATACATACCTGGGAAGTAATTATCTTATCACTATGAATCTCAGTATCAGCATTTTATATTTAAGTCAAAAATATACTGAAACCTGATTGGATAACAAGAGATTACATTGAGTAGAATGCAAACCTTTTGGGAAAAAAAATCTGGCTAATATTTTATTTAAATAAATAAATATTTATTTATTTATTTTTGAGAGGTGGAGAGACAGAGAGCTCCTATCTACTTCCTCACTCCCAAAATGCTGGCCATGCTGAAGGATTGGCTGAGGTAAAAGCCAGGAGCCAGGAACCCTATCCAGTGGATGTATGGCAGGGACAGAACTACTTGAGCCATCATTTGCCGCCTTTGATGGTGTACTATAGCAGGAAGCCAGTGGCAGTAGCAGAGCTGGGATCCTAGCTCAGGCACCTCAGCGTGAGGCGAGGCACAGCACAGGCGTCTTAGCCAGTCTTAGCTTCTCCAGCCTGTTAAAGAGCTCTTCGGTTTTAAGTGGTTTATTTGCAACATTAAAGGCTTTGATTATCTGCCTCAAAATGCCCATTCTCTTTTGAGCATTAAGAAAAGGAAACTATAAATGATGTGTAGCACACAAAGCTGGTGCTATCCTTCCTCAGAACCCTGTGTTGCTTCAGAAAGTTACGGGAGCCCCATGGTGGGGGCGGCAGGGAGCTCTGTTATCTCCACTTTCCAAACGTTGGCTTAACCCAGGGCTTCCCTGCTATTAGGAGGATGCAGAAATTCCGGCAGCTGGCGAAACCGGGTGTGGAGTTCCCTAGGCCAGGCAGTACTCAGCCCTCGCTTCTCGCCTGCTGATGGTCACGCTCAGCTGTCGTGCTGGTGGCGTCCTCAGTGTATAGGAGCTCAAGAGAAAGCCAGCCTCAAGCCTGTGCCTTTGGACCTCCCTTCCTGGCTGTGCCTTTGGAAGATGACTGGAGAGGTTGATGGCTTTTTTCTGGGCAGGTCATGAAGTGAGTGCGCAGTCTAGTTCTCAAGGGAAAGGCACTTCTCAATATCCTTCCAGCTGTCAGGGAGGACTGTTTTAAGGAATTGTCAATTTTAATATGGTATAAATACACAGTGCATCAAAATTAGTGTGCGCTTTTTCCAGAAATTATCTTTGCATAATCATCTTTTTAAAAAAATTATTAGCCATTTGTTTCTAAAACTGCATAATGTATATGTTTATAAAACAGAAATATATCAAGTAACCCACCTGTTGTTGGTGCCTCTTTATTTTTATTTTTTGATCCCTATTTTTCTGTTGTACATTAGCGTCCCCTTATCTTTGGCTTTGCTTTTTATGGTTTTCATTATCCATGGTCAACCTCAGTCAAAAAAGGTTAGCAGAATTGATGTTGCTTAATAGGGGCTCTTTTCAAACTGTTGTCTCAACCTTCTTAATGCCTCACACAGGAGCCTGGTCAGATATGTAACAAGTTAGCATAAGTTTATTTTGTTGTGAAAAAAATGTGACCTTTGTGCATAGTTTTTTCATAATGCACATTTTCCCTGTACAGTCTGGTGACCCCAGTTTTCTTGTTTTGCATAGTTTCTGAGGAAAATCTGGATGCAGTTGTTTACCCTGCTCCTCTGTGAGTAAGGTAGCTTCGGCTTTGTCTTTGGTTTTCTGAAATTTGAATATAGTACGTCTCGTCTTGGTGTAGCTGGTCCCCTGCCCCTTTGATGTTCGGCCTGCCTGGTGTTCTGCCAGCTCCCTGGACTTGGGATTCGGTGTCTGAAGTTGACTTGGGGAATTCCCAATCATTTTTGCTCCCAGTATTTCTTCTGTGCCTTCCTCTCTTTCTTGTCCTTCTCATACTCCCATCGCAACATCGGTTACTACACATTTTGTAGTTGTGCCACGTTTGGTGGCTCTTTGTGCGTGGGGGAGAGGGAGCAGGGGGCTACTTCTTTGGAAGAGGATTTTTTTTTCTCTTTGCTTTTTAGCTTTGGAAGGTTTATTATGTACTGTGAAGCTCCAGGATTCTATCCTCAGCTGTGTCCTGTCTATGGATGAGCCCATCGAAGGTATTCTTTGTTTTCATTACAGTGTTCCTTCCTTCCTTCCTTCCTTCCTTCCTTCCTTCCTTCCTTCCTTCCTTCCTTCCTGTCTTAGTTCTAGACAGTGAGAGAGAGAGAGAGAGAGAGAGAGAGAGAGAGAGAGAAAGGTCTTCCTGCCGTTGGTTCACCCCCCAAATGGCCAGGAACCAGGTGCTTCCTCCTGGTCTCCCATGCGGGTGCAGGGCCCAAGGACTTGGGCCATCCTTCACTGCCTTCCCGGGCCACAGCAGAGAGCTGGACTGGAAGAGGAACAGCTGGGACTAGAACCGGCACCCATATGGGATGCCGTTGCCGCAGGTGGAGGATTAACCAAGTGAGCCACGATGCCGGTCCCACAGTGTTCTTTAGCACTTCCTTTATGGTTCTTTCTTAGAATTTCTACCTCTATGCCCACATAACCCATCTGTTCTTGGATGTTCTATTTTTTTACATTAGAGCTCACAGCATCTTAATCATGGTTTGTTTTAAATTCCCATTCTGTTAACTCCAACAGCCTGGCCATATCTGAGCCTGCTTGCAGTACTCGGCTGTTTCCTCAGACGGTGTTTCTGACTTGTAGGATGCCTGGTAACTTTCTGTTGAAATCTGGACTGTGAACTCTGTTCCGCAGGTCTCTCGTTGTGTGGTGGAAGGGAGCTGGGGGCGGGGAGGCATTCTGTAGCCCTGTGGCTATCTCTGTCAGTTTCGTGAGCCTGGATATGAATTCACTGTTGCATGTCCCAGGATGGTGTGACAGGCTGGATTTAGCTGTTTCTCTTTTACTAGGTGGGTTAGGCGCTGATAAAATAGCCTCTCCTGACTGCACACCCTGATAAGAAGAATAGAATGTTCTGGCTCATTTCAAAATGGTTCCTTGTTTCCCTTCCCTGGCTTGAAGCTTGAGGGAATTTTTCTCTGATATTTACTGTGCGGACCCAGGAGTGCTCCCAGAGCTAAAACTCATAGGAGGGGGAGCCCTCCCACGGCCAGAGCCCCTGGCGTTTTGGGTCTGAGACTTGACGACACTGAACTTCTTGCAGTTCATCCACTACTGTGTGGGTTTCCCTGCCGCAGCACTCATCTCCAAGGAAGTTTCTGCTTTGGCGAGTTGTGTTTCTCTGCATCCGCTGCTCTCTACTTTGGGGACAGTGTTTTTGCTTGCTGACCTCACTTCCCTGATGGATCTAAGGCAGTTGTTGGGGCCTGCGTTGTGGCGCAGCACGTGAGGCTGCGGCCCCAGAAGCTGTTATCCCATGGGAACACACGTTTGAGTCACCGCCGATCCAGCTTCCTGCCGATGTGCCTGGGAAAGCAGCAGAAGATGGCCAGAGTACCTGGGCCCCTGCCACCCACATGGGAGGCCTTGGTGAA